TATATATATATATATATATATATATATATATATATATATATATATATATATTTCTTTCTTTCCATCCATATGGTTAGGGAAATCTTCACAAACAGGTTCATCAGAAGTAAAAATGAGCGAGACATATATTCTCAAATCAGATGAATCCAAATGAAAAATTAACAAAAAGAAAAGCAGTCAGCATCATCTATAAGAGATTCGCATTAGAGAGAGATATGCCCAAGAACCTTAAATATTTGAGGAAAAGCTTTTTTAAGAAACAGAATATGATGAGAATATAGGGTTTCTAGTACAATATAGTAACTTCAATAACCATGCAAAAGTTCCCACTCAGAATGGCAAAGCTAGACTAAGCTTCAAAATATTACCTCGTCCATAATAAGCATTGAACAATCCTTCAAAACACAGACACCTTTTCGTGCAAGATCAAGAATTCGACCAGGTGTTCCAACAAGCAAGTGAACAGGTTGATATAAACGCATAATGTCATCCTTCAAGCTGGTTCCTCCAGTAGTAACCATGACTTGAATATTCAAATGTTTCCCAAGTTCCTTACAAACTTGTGATGTCTGAAGAGCTAACTCTCTTGTAGGAACCAATATAACAACTGAACATGAAAAATTGTCAATCATTAGGTGGAGAAAAATAGAACCTGCAACAATTTCAGTGCCACAACAGACAATTTACATGAATATATTTGGTGTAATCTTCTTGATGTCATCTACTAATGCAGATCAAGTATGATGCACTAGAAATTATGCAGCATGCATATCAAATCTGCATTACAAAACTTATCAAAAATGATCTGCATAAGGTTGGACATCAAACTCAAATATTTGATACCAAAGAGGCAGCCAAAATATAACCTCTACACAAATAAAAAAAGACAAAGCAAGACATGCAAATGCGATAAAACTCACTAATACTCAAAAAGTATAAAACTTTAAAAAAATTCAATAGATGAACAATTTGTTTGTACTTTTATAAAAATAAAGTATAATGAGAAACCTTGAATGACATTATGATCCTGGTCAATTTTCTCAAGTGCAGGAATACAAAATGCAGCAGTCTTTCCAGTCCCATTTTTAGCTCTGGCAAGAATGTCACTGCCAGTGAGTGCAATTGGAATGCTTTCTTCCTGAATTGGTGAAGGCCTTTCGAAACCTTTCTCATATATTCCCATAAGCAGTTCTCGCTTCAGAAAATAGTCCTCGAATTCATTCCCCTTGGTTGCAGTCACATCCTGGCAAATATATGTCCAACATTTTGACAGTTGTAGATAATTATCAAAAAAGTGACTCACCAAGAAATCAGCAATGCTCCAAAATTATTATATGTTTGTGTTATACTCCAATGGAAGATGAAAGAAGGTTACATATTTATATCAGTTAACAAACATAACAGAAAGTGCTACTTAAACATTAGCACCGTGTACTATGAATAAGAAGGTTAAGCTTGAAAATCATTACAGGACAAATATGAAGCATGGATATAGACAGAGGATACCTATGCGACATAATATACAATAGTACATTATATTCTTGTGTATATTGGCAAGTGTAGCAGACGGACATAAAGATAGTGTTTTAGATGTTACATATTACAATAAGCGAAAACAAGTATTTAACCAGCATCCTTAGCCTATTTATTCAAGATAAGAAACCCATGCGCAAAAGCACCTTTAGAAATCATAATGGAAGTTGGTTGAACGTTTTTAGCAGATACATTACTTTATTTAATTGCAAGAAACTTCCAAAAGCCAATGTTATTCCCTTATCTTAGTCACAGAAAGATAAGAACTAATTTTACCTCTGTCTTGTAGCGTGTGTCTGGAGGTGCCATTTTCAATTGTGCCTTCCAATCTTGCAAACTGAAACCATCAAGATCAATTTATTAAAAAAGGAACAAAAGTATAAATCCCAATATGTGTTAACTGATTTTGCAACAAAGAATGATGTATAACTCAAATAAATTGAACCAAATAACAACATGAATATTTGATAAAGCAGTTCCTAAGCAATAACTCAAATTTTAAAATTTCAATATGATGACATTTTAATATTATTTTAAATAGATTAAATATGAGGGATCATAGAAGAGAAAGGCATTACTTCATTCTTTTGTCATGGTTAAAAAAAGGGTTGGTTTAGTTGAACCATATTTAATTGGTTTGGTTTTAATTTATTGTATTGATTTAACTAGATCATATGGTTCAGGTGAGATTGGGCAGGAAAAGTAAAGATTATATTGGATCATGTCATACTAAGTTTTGTTTTTTAAATAGAACCATCCTATTTGGCTTGGTTAAAAAAAGTCAATACTAAAAAGAAAGAAACATACACAAATAACACCAGCTACAATAACCAGAAAACCATGCAAAAAAAAAAAGACAAAATCAAGGGGCTGGGACTTTCCGAAGGTTGACTTTCTTCCATTTTCGCTGGACCAAAAAAGTTCAAATCAATTTGGAGCACCTTTTTCATCAAGCAAAACGTCCCAAAGTGAACTGGTTAGTTTAGTACAAGAAAGACTTGATAAAAGAACAAATGGGATGACATTGCCCAAAAACTCCCTAATAGCATCAAAAGCATCCGGCAATTGAGATTACTAGTTGCTGAAAATACCAGTCAAATAAGACACCATCTCCTTTGGGGTAAAAAGGAATCCTTTGGACCAATCCTAGATCAATTATGTCCTACATAGTTGTATATGTACTAAACACTAGGTTATGTGACCTAAAGAAGGAAAACAATATTTTCTACATAAACAAGGCAAACTTCATCTTCTACGTTATTTTTATCTTTTTTTTCTCCCTTCAAGCAGCAAAATGCAATATGTTGGTAGAAAAAATCCAGAAGGATAATGGTATTAATTAATGTACACCTCATGCAGAAGAAATGAAAAGATTTAATCATGACTACTGGTTTAACCTCATATCAAAATAAACAAATATTTAGAGTGACTTATAAGGATCTGACAGATGGAGTATTGTTAACTTGAGATTAAACATTTTAGACTAGTAGTTCATGCACAATAAATTAATTATCAATTATCCCATCGGGCTAGATAAGTTAATTTTATAGGCAATTAGGCATATGGAAGAGACAATGAGAAAAAAAAGGTTTGGGTTTTCTCTGCTTTTCAGTTTCTCTCCAGATGACTCCACTAATGAGAAGTAGAAAAAAAGTGTTTTGGAGAAATAATCTTTCTATTTCACCTCGTTCCATTTTATAGAGATTTTGACTCTGAATTATTCTCTCCCCAAAACTTCCAGATGTGGTCCACTAAAATTTATATTGGAACATCCCAAAATTCGACAACTACCAAACCATAAGACAAAACACAATCTTACATCATTCTGACAACTTTATGCAGAACATTAGACACAAATGTCAAAATAACCCGGCACATACAGGGGAAAAAACTATCATTTCCGACAGGATGGGTTAGAGATCACAACTTACGCTGGAAATCACCTGATCATTACTGGCCCTAACTGCAATGTCTCTAACAAATGACACCCGCTGGTTAAAACAATTAATGGCGGACCACATAATTCGATTCTCTGAGGTAGTTTTCAAGTATTCAAGAAGTGAAAGCCTACGAGGGAATTTACAAACATAACCAGCAATTTTAATCAAGGACCCTTCCTTCCTGTATACCTCGTATTAGTGGCCTCAGATTGAACCGATTTCACTATTTGGCCAGCACCAAAGTCACCTCCAAGCTGATTCCTTCTCGACCACTGCTGTTGCTGCTGGAACTGCTGGCTTGGCTGACCATGCGCCGGACTCTGCTGAGCATACTGCTGGTGCTGGTGAGCGCTCCTTGCATAGAAATTAGGGTTCGTACTCGCACCGCCCCCTCGGCCGTTGCCCATGCCGGGCGGAGGATACCTACTTCGAGGATTCATCTACGACTTCCCGAAACAATTATATCACGCAAGGAAGAAAGAACCGAAAGTTGCGATTGAAGCAACAGTTCGTCGATCGCAGGGCAAAGATCGAAAGATTCCAAGCGAAACTAAGGGAAGGATTTGAGATCAATGGATGGGAAGTGATAGGGTTTCTTTCCCTACAACTGCATCGAGCCTTTTCTTTTGCTTTTAGGGCGTCGACGACGAATGGAATGACGATGCAGCCCTTCGAGTATTAATAGTAAAACTGCTAATGGTATTAAGCACGCATCACACGTGTATAATTTAAATATTTCTGTTTATTTTCCTTACCATTTTTATTTTTCCTTATTTTACTTCTGCTTCAATCGTAATATTAGGACTAACAATAACTACATAAATATTATGGGCGAGTCTGTGAAACATTCGCCATACTGCTATAATTATAATCCTATAAGGTGGTTCACGAGGACATCGGGACACTTGAGATGACTCCAAAGTGGTCTTCGGTTGGAATCCGAGTGTTTGAGATAGTGTTTGATTCCTTAGTAGGTTCCTGCACAAAAGTCACTGTTGAGGGGAACTTCTCAACTCATCTGACGCTCAAGTTAGCTCTTAGGGTGAAATGAAGGACAAAAAGGTTAATTATTGAAAGATCCGACTCTTGGGTTGACATTGAGGGTTGACTTTTATATTTGTCTGATCAAGAAAATCACTTATAACGATTATAATGTCTTTCCTATAGTGTTTTGTCTACGGGCTAGGTCTGAACGATTTCTCATAGATTGTTGTCCATAGAGGCCGACCAAGAGGGGGTCAAACCTGAACGACCACCCGTAGACTACTACCCACGGAGATCAATAGGGCCAACCCGAATGGTCTCGGGTGGACTATTGTCCATAGGGCTCAATAGGCTGTAACTGTCTCCATGTCATTGCCTTATGAGGGGGTAACTTAGCCCTTGTATTCCATTTGGAGTTCACGAGTGAGTCAAAGTCTCGGTAGAAGTGTTTCATTCTCGACTTCATTGTTAGAGATTTAAACTCGAACAAAAGGACTTGCTCATACACTTGGTTGCTCGGGCCCTTCAGAATGAGCTCCACTCATCCCCTTTCTAAAGTAGCTGAGTTGTCTACGAACAAAGTCCACATCAGGGAGGCACATTTGCCTGCCTCAACCTCAAGTGAGGGGTCAGTTTTGATATGAAATCTGCTAATGCTTGAGCCTTGATGATAGTCCTTAAGATGTATTGGATGTTAAACTCTCTCGGTTCTATCAATCACTTCAGCATTTGCCCCGAGATATCAAATCGTGAGAGGACCTATCTCAATGGCTAGTCAGTAATCATCTATATCAGGTATGGCTTATAAATAAGCATGTAACTTCCTTGTCGCCAACACTTATGTGATCGCTAGTCTCTCGATGGAAGAGTAGCATTCATCGAGTTCACTCAACATGTGATTGACGTAATATATGGGTTGTTAGGCTCTCGTGTTGTCCCACAGTAGCACCGAGCTAACATCATGTTCGGTAACTGCAAAGTACAAACTTAGCACTTCGCTCAAGGTGAAGGAGACCTGCAACAACCGAGCGAGGTGATGCTTCAGTCGTTCGAATGCCTCCTGACATGCCTTGGTCCATAAAAAGTCTTTCGGATTCCTTAACGTCTGAAAGAAGCGTAGGCACTTATTACCTAACCGGAATTGGAATCGAATAAGCACTATTAGTCATCTCGTTAATTGTTACGCCTCCTTCATGGACCAAGGTGGGAGCATCTCGGTTATGGCATGAACCTTCTTGGGGTTTGCATCAATTCCCCTTTGGTGAACGATGAATTCGAGAAACTTTCTCGAATTGATCTCGAAAGCGCACTTGGATGGGTTAAGGTGTATATTGAACTTTTTTAGGATCTGAAATGTCTCGGCCATGTCTGCCAAGTACGAGTCAATCATTCTACTTTTAACTATCATATCGTCTACATATACTTCTATGTGTCACCTGATCTAGTACTTGAACATCATGTTCACCATTTTTGATATGTTACCCCATGTTTATTAGTTTGAAGTGCTAGTATAAGCCTAAGTTGGTAATGAAGAATGTCTGTTCCTAATCCTAGGGTATCATTTTGATCTAATTATGGCCCGAGAATGTCCATAAAAGTAATAAATTCATGACCCGAGGTGACGTCCATAGGTTCATCGATCTGAGGATAGTGGTCCTTCAGACAGACTTTGTTATCGATTCAATCAATGCACATTCTCTAGTTTCTATTAGATTTCTTAACTAATACAATATTAGAAAGCCACTAAGGGTACTAAACTTCAGTAATGAACCTCGCTTCCGATAGCCTATCAACCTCAGCACTAATTGCTTGCTGGCACTTGGGAGTGAACCTGTGAGGCCTTTGCTTTACCGGTTGGGCCTTGGGGGGATATGTTCAAGCAATGTTGGGCTATATTTGGATCAATAGCCAACATGTCCCTCTGTGACTTAACAAATACCTTGATGATTTTCCTAAGGAAGTTGATAAGTTATATGTGATTCTCCTTAGGCAGTATTGCTCTGATCTTAACGACCTAGTCAGGTCGAGTCTTATCCAGGGACACCTTCATCAATTGCCCTATCAGCTTCAGGTGAGGGAGAGGCTTGATAAAATCTAGGGGTCCATCGGCGATGACTCAAACTTAGCTTTCTTCGATAGTGAGGCTATCATCAAGTAGCATTGTCAGAACTCTTTCGGGTTGCTCCTTAGTTCCCAACACCAATCATCATTGGGAATTTAATCATAATATGTTAGGTAGATACCACGACTTTTAGTTAGTTGAAAGTGGATCAACTAATAATTGTTTTCTAGTTTGAGAATGTCCACCATAATAAACTTGGTCACTAGCATCTTAGGGTAGGACTCTTCATTGAATGTGACATGTAAGCTTATAGTCTCAAGTGGGCAGATAAGTCATCAATGAATCTCATTAGCGAAAATGTCACTGAGGAGAGGTTGTTAGTTAACAATCCAAGTTTTTGAAAGGCATTGAAATAAATTAGGTCGGTAAAACTACTTGTGTCGATCATGAGCCTCTTTACCCGAGTGTTGATCATTCTCACGGAGACCACCAATATATCATCATGGTTTGGGTCAAAGTAATTCATCTCTTCTTCTTTGAAAGTGATTTTTGCACCTTTTTTTGGCTTTGTGCATTTCTCGATGGTGGCTCGGGCGTAAGCTTTCCACTTCAAGGAACTATCTCCCCCGAGACAAGTCCACCGCTGATGATATCAATTTATATTTCCACTAGGCCTTGTGAGCGAGGCAAAGGTTCTCAGGGTTTATGGATGAACCTCCCAATGTGTCCTTGATAGAGAGCTCCTTAATCTTGTCCTTCAAATCATGACATTCCTCAGTGTTGTGATCGTAATTCCGATGGAAGAGATAGTACTTTGATTTGTCCCTCATTTCCAAGGGGGTCCTCATCAACAATGAGTCTTTCAATAATTCTTTATCATTTATTTGTGAGAATATCTCAATCATTGTCATATTGAAGGGAGTTTACCAGAATCTCGGGTGAGGTATCTCGGGTCAATCATGTTTCCTTTGTGGCGAGCTCGAATTTGGTGCCTAAAGTGATTCTTGACATGGCCTTTTGTGGGTTTCTTCTTGCTTATCTGAGATCATTACTTCTATAACTATGTATTGATTGACCCTTTGGAGCATCTCGAGGATTGTCATCGGTGGTCTCTCCACTAACAACCAGAAGCATGTAAGAAGGGTGTCTTACACGCTTTAGACTTCGCCAGCGAATTGTGTGATGAAGTCAGAGAGGGTCTTGACCTCTCTTTATCTCAACCCAAGCAACATTGCTATGGATGGCCTCCGGTGTCTGTTCTTGAAGAAGTGGGGCTCGAATTCCTTCGTGAACTGAACGAATGATGAAATCGAGAGTGGCTTCAAGTGATTGTATCATTCTCGCACTGAGCCCCTCAATGTCATTGGGAATGTTTGACGTATCAAAGCATCTGATGTACCATATAATGACATATAAGCTTGGAAAACTATGGTGTGCTCCATTAGGTCAAATATGTTATCGAAGGCTTCTAGTGATGGCAAATAAAAGTTCATTGAGATTGGCTCCTCCTAAATGCTCTAAATGAATGGGGAGTGGCCCAAGGTGGGGTTGTCCATGCCTTCCCCTTTTGATCGTTAGAACTCCCAGTGTATCTTTTCTAGATGTTGATCCACCTATCATAGTTCGGCCCTTAAGGAGTCAACCATCAAATTTGTCGATTAGGTCTCCGACTCAAGTAAGACAAACCCCAAGTGCATAAGTGTGTTGAATTCCACTATTGGGGAGCATGGTGCTCCGATCAACATTTCAACTAATTAGGAGCAGTCCTAGGTTATCGACATTGGGTTAATTAGGGGACCCCGGCGGGCATGGATTTCAGTGGTGGTTGATGTTAAGAAATCTAGGGCAGAATCACATGCGTAGTGGAAGAACAAAAAAATAAAATCTCATAATTTCTCGCAAAAAAAGTTTTTTATCGTCGTGCGAAGATTAGTGCGCAAAAATCAACAAAACCAAAAAAACTACACGTATATGAAAGATGTGTTATTTAGGGAGATCATATATTTTTTAAAACTTATAGATCTACGAGAGAAGATGAAGGAGGTCAATTGTCCTCTTATCTAACGATGATCCACGTAGCAAGCACTACAAATACACCCCTCAAATCACTGCACAATCCTCCTTTCTGCAAGCACCATATGATCAAGGAGGGGCCGACTCTTCTTGTTGTCCACACATCCCAAACTGGGGTTGTTGGCTGATAAGGAGAGGGAGAGAGGAGTATAGGAGGTGGAAACTAAAAAGGGTCTAGTTTATGCCCCTATGGTTCCCTTATATTTATAAAGGTCTCATATCAACTTAATCCTAATGGATCCTACCTTATTAGGTATTGGATTTTCATCTAACTATCCAAGTCTCTCAAATTAATAGATCACTACTCAATAATCTTTTATTGACTCTTATTGGATCTTATCTACAAAATTTGATAATTCATGAGTTTACTGGATATCCAATAAGATAAGAGCTCTAACGAATATCTCATATACGAACACAACGAATATCTCATATACGAACATTTACTCATCGCAACATTTGTCATGTGTGTGTGACCCTCTAGGCCTAATATCGAGCTGGCCATAAGTTATATCTGTCAGAACTCCTTCTAATTTAGTGAATTATTATATTCATAATAATTCACTCGACTCATTGACTATGGACGTACTAGGCCATTACGTCGTAGTCCCCAAACGATATAGGAGAATCTAATCCATTATATTTATCTATCCTCAGTTACCATGTATTTATAGTCTCTTATTTATCTAATATTTCAAAGATCGTATACTGGGCATGGTGTTGCCATGCTCATACAGTTTCTACTCGAGTCTCACTCTAATCAGATTTTCTCGGAGAACTCTCTCTCTCTCTCTCTCTCTCTCAATTCGAATGACTCTAGAGATTTACCTGAGCAAAAACATATAGGATATTACTCTCATGACACCAAGAGTGGATGATCTTCTATCGACACTCAATTGCCCTTATAAGATCGGTTGTCACTCCCGATGACGATCGTGCTAGATTTGAAACTTCCAAACATATAAGTATGGTATCAAAGAGTTGAGTACTCATACAGGATAAACTTGGTATCTCAAGTCTAAAGACCAAATACACTACTGAGACGACAAAATCATTATCTGACAATAAGGTATCATCAACCATCCAACATTCCATGAGCGAATCAATCAACGAACTCATTCTCCAATTAGCACATACACTATATCCTTAGTGTCCCCATATAAGCGGTTATAAGACTAGTCACCTCCATCATATATACGGATATACAATACATCAGTTTATCCGGTTATCTCAATGTCCTTCTCGAGTAATCTATGATCGAGATTATTTAGGGTTTATGTTTAAAACGAATCATTCTCATTATCGTGATTTTATTATAATTCGATTCTTATTACATAGATTTAAGAATATCACAATATATGCAACATACAATATAAAATGAAAAAAATATCAAATAAATAATAAGCAAAAAAGAGTGTGTATCATGTTACATGTATCATCACTTACGTGATTAGCTTGCAGGGCACCTATGACTGGCAGTTGAGACACTAGTCATGGTTGTAAAGATGTCATAGTTTATTGAGCTAGTTGGGGCAAAAGTGAGATGATAACTTGCATCATCCCTATGAATGCTTGAACCTAGTGCATGAGGTTCAGGAAGGCTTCGACGGGGACAACCAGGTGCCCTATGCTTGTCCCTAGAGGCGAGAGTTCAAGGTCATTGAATAGGCACCAATAATGCCCTAGTGTTTGAGCCAAGATGAATACATCCACTTGATGAAAGGAGAGTAGCTGCCCTCCTTATATTAATATACTATGGGTTAGGGGTGGAGCCTCCTCAAGCGCCAAAATATTATGGGGGGAGTACCATCGACCGTGAGTTGCTCGATTTGGTATGGACTTAAAGGTGCAAGAATGTCCGAGAAACCTACATAACAATCCTATAAGGTGGCTGATGAGGACACTAGGGCACCCGAGGTGGCTCCGAGGTGGTCTTCGGTTGGAATCTGGGTGTCCGAGGTGGTCCCGAGGTTGGGCCAAGGTGAGAAGTATGGTTCCTCAATGGTTTCCTGCACAAAGGTTAATGTTAGGGTGAGTTTCCTGACTCGACTTCTCATACGCCTAAGTTAGTTTTTGGGGTGGAATGAAGGACAAAGAGATTAATTGTCGAGAGATCCGACCCTTGAGTTGGCACTAAGAGTTGACTTTTATACCTATTCAATTGAGGGAATCACCTATAACAGTTGTAATACATTTCCTTTGACATTTTGTCTAAGGGGCAATAGACCTATAATGATTGCAACGCTTTCCCTTTGACGTTTTATCAATGGGAGACGATATGCGTAAATGGCCTCCCATGAATTATTGTCCATAAGGACCGATTGAAGAGGGGTGGATCCTAACAATCGCTTGTAGACTACTGTCCATGGAAGGTAACAGAACTAACCCAAATGACCTTCCGTGGACAATAGACCATAATTGTAACACCCCTGATTAGTCTCACATCGAAAGTTGGCAGGATTAAGATTGACTTATAAGGGTCTGATGAGTGTACTATTATAAACTTCAGCTTAAACATTTTGATTAGTGGATTAGACCAAATAAAGTTGATAAGCTAGTTAGCCCATCAGGCTCGAGTCATAATAATAATTACTTTTACATCACTACTCGTGAGAGATGATTTAATGGGATGAGATTGATTGTTAGAATATTTTTTAACAATAAATATTTTAATCAAATTTGAGATTCGGATAACCACCTTATCTTAGTGTTTAAGTTCCTAGAATATTTGTTGGGTGCTGACTACGCATTTCTACGGACCGTTCCCACGCACTCGCCATACCTATACCCCACCGACCTCCGCCAGGTCGGGTTCGAGGAGATGCAATTTCACTAACAAGACAAAGTTCACATTTCCAATCGTAGAATCCCACGCGTTCATTTTGATTCGTACTTATTGTCGTCAATTCAAATAAGCGGCTGAGATTAAACTTCAGGAGATCACCCTTCCGTGAATCCCCGGGCGGAGCGAGCCGCATTTAACTATATCATAAGGCGGCATTCTCGGTTTGGTTAGGAGAAGCGAGCCAACGACGCGGAACGATGTCCGAATCAGAATCGGAGACGTCATCAACGTTGATATGGAGCGGAGACGGAGAGGAATGGAGCGGAGCGATGTGGAAGGCGAAGGCGGAGGCGGAGGCGAAGGCGTGGGAGACGCTGAAGGACGCGGTGGAGGCGTACATGGGGCCATCACCGGTGACGTTCTTCACGGTGCTGGCGGTGGCGGTGGCGTTGGCGTTGGACTTCTACTACGCCGTGTCGGGGTTCCTCGAGCCCCAGCCGCAGGTGCCGCGGGACCGGGGTGCTGGGGAGCGGGAGACGGTAGAGCCCCTCCCGCTGCCCGTGCAGCTTGAGGAGATCACCGAGGAGGAGCTCCGTGCCTACGACGGCTCCGGCCCCAAGTAGCCGCTCCTCATGGCCATCAAGGGCCAGGTCTATGACGTCACCCAGACCAGGTCCGTCTTCACCCCATACCCTCTGTCTGTCCTTGGATCTCTTGGTTAAGCCCTAATTGCATCTCAAATTTCACGTGTGGATTAGTTTCGTTCTGCTAAGGTTTAGAGCCAAGTGCCTTTTTTTTCTTGTCCGCCTGTCGGTTGTCTTTACCTGATCCCTTCTCATTTGGACCAATTTTTCCTTTCTGTTGATGTCCTTCGCTGCTTTTTGAGCATTGAACTTTGAGTGACCATCAGTTAAATTTCATCTTTTCTTTCTTGATTTTTGTATAAAAGTTCTCATTAAATTTTTAAGATGGTGTAAGCTTTTGTTGATGAGATTAAAAGCGGACAACTTTTAGGATTCTTTTTCATAGGTCACTGTCTGCTTATTGATTCCTTATGGTTGGTTTTTACATTATATCAAATAGCATGTTCATCCTATGTTATTATAATATACCTAACTATGCTTACAACCAAGGTATGTAATACCATACCGTACTGATGTTTCGAGATTGGCTTAGTACGATATGGTACCATGTACCGCTCGGTACACTAAGGCGAACCGAGTTGTTTTAAATATTTTTTCTCTTACTGTAGCACTATAGCATGTTCCGTCCGGTAGCAGACTGTCTACGTACCGATACACCGTCGGACCGGTATATACCGCCCGGTACTATTCGAAATTGCATACCGTGCTTACAACAACCTAAATCCATTACATACTATTGTGCGTTGCAAGGATAACCGTTTGATATTTGCTTCTGAGCTGACATAGACTCTAAGCTCATCAGCTGTGGATATTCCTATTGATTTAGCCATCAGGCTTGATTTAGTTGATAATCTTGTCTTTGTTATGGAGTTTCTGCAACTATGCATATTATATAGTCCATATTGGTAGTTAGAGGCTTTTCGCTTTACTTGGTATGATTAGCTGCTAATGGTTACTGATGTTAGTTCTTATTTTTTAATTTGTTCTTTCTAAATCTTTCTGGCCAGCTATTCTCATTTAATTAGATATTTTAGCTTCACTTTGTATTGTATGCTTGTAAACTTTCATATCAAGTACGTTGCCTGCTGCTTATGTCTTGAATTGTAACTATATGCTGCTCTTTGAAAGTATTAGTCGGTTGGCAGCCGAATGAATTCATTGACTTTACCAAGCCAGATTCTATGTCCTTCTACGTGTTTGTGACCTGGATATCATCTTTGAAAATGGTTGTTTTCATATCTGTTAGCGACATCTAGCAAATGAGCACTTGATTTTTTAAGTTGAACTACATTTTCCTCCTTTTAGCCAATAATTTTTGTACGGTTGATACACTTGGGAGAAATTTTATTTGTGATATTAGTAAGTGCTACCATCTATATTTACAGTCTACTTTGTATTATTTTTCTAAAATAATAAGACAGGAAATTGTTTTGCTTGTTCCTTGTAATATAGTAATCTGTCTCTATTTGTACTCTATAGTGGTTGGCTAAAAGTGGATTGCCATCTTCAGAAATTGAAACGTTTTTCTTTTTTTACCTACAATTAATGTGTAAGAGGCTGTATAGGCATGACCTCATGCAGACAATATTCATTGTTAACTGAGGTTGAGCATTGTTATTAACAGGCTGTATGTGCATGAAACAGCCTCTTTCCTGAAACTTTAGGAGTCTTGTGCACTGGATTCATCCTTTTTCTTTTCATACACCTTTTTCACAATAGGTGTATGTTAGTGTCTAAATTGTGCCTATGTCTAGATGGTAATTTGGTTGAATGAACATTTTTGTTGTTCAATGCCTTATCGTGATCCCCTAAATCTGCACACACTAAATTTTAGCTGCTAATTTTCTTTAAATGCATGCGTGCTACCTTTTACATTGCCTGACACTAAAGTGAACAGGTATTGCATCATCTATTTGAGACTGAACTACGTATGCTTTTGCTTATCGTCGACAACCATCATTAGCATCACATATCTTTCGTATCTTTACATTTCAATGCTGTCGTTCCCAGGATGTTTTATGGACCTGGTGGACCATATGCACTTTTTGCTGGCAAAGATGCAAGTAGAGCACTAGCAAAGACGTCTTTTGAGCCAAAGAGTTAGACTGGTGATATTTCTGTCCTTGGTCCCTTTGAGCTTGAGGCCTTGCAAGACTGGGAATATAAGTTCATGAGCAAATATGTAAAAGTGGGCACAATCAAGAAGACAGTGAATGTGACTGAGGGGTCTGATGTCGGTACATCAGACACAGTGGAACGAATTGCTGAGACCACAAAAGGTACAAGCAGTCGAGAAGATCATGATGCACAAAAGGAAGATGTTACAGCAGCCCTTGGTGCCAAAGCAGAACATTAGCAAAATGTCGAAGGAGGATGGTCCTGCAAGTCATGCTGATGAAGCAGAATAGAGGGATGAAGTAAAGAAGAATGGTCCGTCAGGTGAGGATGATGCAGCAGTCCATAATGCATAATCAATGGAAATCATTGCAAGGTGAAGTACTAGAGATCAAGTTCCATCGATCATTCCTCATTGATAGTAGTATATAATGTTTTTCGTGTCACAGTACTTTGTCTGTCTATCTCTGGACCTCATATTTAGCAGCTAGCAGATGTTGGTTTTTCACTAATAAAAACCAGCCTGATATAAGAAAGTAGGGATTTCACTAATATGCTGGGTGTATATTCTTGGATGTGTCTTTGGGTGATTGCCTATTGTTATACCATCAGATGGTAATGGTAGTGTGATCTATGGCATCATTGGGGACAGTTCACGAACTGAAGTGTCATTGTGCCTGGTTGGTTGGCCTTGCTGCTTTTAGAAGCAGTGATATCTCATTACATAAATCTTCCTTTTGTGTTCAGCTTCCATTCTATGTCATACGGGACCAACCAATGTGTGAATATTCTGTAATTGAATAGTGTTTTCTATGTTAGTTGGTAATTTTTTTTTTTACCAAGATTAGATAAAAATATTAATATAAAATCTATAATCATACTATCTGTAATGCAGAAAAAAATTTTATGTTAAGATTAAAGTCAAATTTTATGTTAAGATTAAAGTCAAATTTTATGTTAAGATTAAAGTCAAATAAAATTAGATTTAATAATATTACGATGCGTATTTTTTATTGTTATTCAGAAAAATAAATATAATTTTTTTTTATTGATCAATAATCATAATCAGAATTCAATCATATCTATAATATATCTTATCTAATTAAATAAAATCATATAATCTAACAGAAAATAAATTATTCTTTGAGTTGCTATGTAAGGGGGCAATATCAGTATTCTTAATATATCTTATCTAATTAAATAGAACCATATTATTCTTTGAGATATTATGTAAGGGGGCAACATCAGTATTCATCGACTGCCCTGAACCATTGTTGTTTTTATAAACATCAATTTTCATTCAATTCTGAATCCTTTCTCCTTGCGCAAATTCTTTTTTTTTGTTGATTATTGGACTTGTGCAGTGTTAGGATACATTCTTAGAGAGACTAATCATACAATCAATTTGTGTAGCGAATTATGTTAATATTTGAGGCAATCTGTAAGTGGGAGGAGAATCTTCCTTCACGTAGATCTTTTCGACTCGGGCTTGGGCAGAGTTCTAATTCCTCCGATGCACACACACACACACACGAGAGAGAGAAAGAGAGAGAGAGAGAGAGAGAGAGAGAGAGAGGGAACGCATTGCAGAACTCTGGACTCTTGAGACTGCAACGAGGAAGCTAATCTGTGGTCTGTTTCATCCGTGTGAAAACTAAGGATGAGAAAGCTGATGTTCATCTTCTTACTGACACAGCAGAATGGTTGACATGGAGACCAAGGCGTCGTCTTATTGAATGGAGATTGGAGACTCACTGTACGTCAACGATTTCAGCAAGCCGGAGTAAATCGTTCTTAAATAGGATGAGCTGAGGCTTTGCTTTTCCCTCTTCACGGCGTCATTGTTCTTAGATACGATGAGTTAAATCGTCGCCTTTCTCCATCGAGAGCGCAAGCTGGAGCCATCTTTTTCCTGCCGCCTCTCTTTAACGCGATGTGACTCATCATCGGCATCAACAACAAGAACTCATAGTGTCTAATTATTAGGGTCGGCTATTTAATCTTTAATTCCCTCATCAACTATTATATCGTGATGGTAATTTTTCTAAGAATTATTTAATTTTTTAATGTAAAATTAATTGACGTATTTATAGAATGAGAAATAGTCAGTCAGTGCGAGTCTCATTATGTTTTGAACATACTACTGCGCACTACACATATAAAATGTCCGCATGACGTCCCAAATTACTGCTGCCATCCATTGGCATTATCGGACATTGGGGTAGTCACGCAAACGTGTGGTGTTTAGTGCATCATCTCTCACATTGTCTACATTGGTCAGATCAAACTAGTTTGTGTGTGTAACAAATACCATCGACTAATCAACCACCTCTTTCATAGCCTGCCTAACCTAAATGACATATGTCAACATGCTCTGCAGACGTATGAAATTTGGCACACAAATAATCTTATTTAATTGTATATAAATAGATACAAAGTGTGTAATTCTGATGCAAGTGTTTAACCTGAGTTCTCTGAATGAATGAAGGTTACTGAAAGAAATATATGTGAATTAGGATGTAAGTAATCGAATTATATACATTATTTACTAAAATTTATAGTTGATGAGTACGCTATTTATCTACGTGAATTCATGCTCATAATTTAGACCTGATAGTATTATCAGGTCACAGGAAAAGTTGACATTAAGCTGCAAATTAATGGCCAAATCTTCCACCACAGTTACCAAATCCACATCTTGCTTACTGGTTCCAGAAAGGTCTGCAAAGTATCGCTACAGAAATCTTATTCAATGCTAATAAGATGTGAAGCGGTCGGCAAAGCCATTAAAACCTTATTTAAAAGACGGCGATTGGAGTACAAGTGATGGGCCCCATGTCGCCTGGATCTCATTGATCCACCCTTAATTCCAATGCTGCATTGATGGGAACACAGTACACCTCAGTAAATCCTTTATACTCGTATTAATTATTACCGGCTAAGCTCGATCTGAGTTCTTCTTGGCTCTTTTGCTGGGTCTCGTTTGTCCTGCGGTGGCACTCTCGTTGGGTCCTCGGCACACGGGTTTCAGGGTTGTCAAGATCATGTCGATAAATTACGCTCAAGGAGTGTAAATATATTCTACCATGTGATGCCAAATGGAAAAGAGGGGAATCACCTTCCCCTACGTAGTCAACACTCATCATATATGACAACAGCATTGCAGGGATACTTGAGCGAGTTGGAGCAAGCTTATGTCCCGTTTTGATGGGTGGTCTACTCGCTGTAGCAGATGGCCCATCAGGGCAGGCTTCTCCACCTTCTTATAGTCTCGGCTGGCTTCGATTCTACCTCGCTCTGCTTCTCGCCTTGTCGCCATGAGGTCGCCAAGCTCTCCTTTGCCGCGCATGGCCTTCGTTCTCCTGCTTCTGCTGGTGGCTGGGCAGTTTGCCAGCCTCGGCGGTGCAAGAACGGTCAACCGAGAGGTGAAGAGGTGGAAGAGCGAGTTCCCCCGGATTGCTCCTTCCCAAGAGCACGGCGACAACGACGACGACGATGGCATCCGCTTCCGCCCGATTCATGGAGTTTCCAAGAGATTGGTGCCTCAGGGTCCAAATCCACTGCACAACTGATCAGCGTCTGGCGCACGTTACTGCGTCTTCCTTTCCACTGGAGCACAAAACGAAGTTACAGACCATTATTATTTCATCTATGCTTGTAATGATATAGTTATTGTATGTAATCTACATTCCGAGGAAGCATAATTCTAAGTCTTCTCCTTTCAGTGAGTAACGAGAAAAAGGGGTGTGTAAACTACGGAGGATAGCAAGTAGTAATCATATAGTTGGTACCATGCACTAGAATGGTGGCCAACACCTGTGACAGGGGTAACTGCAGATCAATGTACTCTAGCTTCCAAGGAAAGGTTGTGTGCTAATATTTTTGATGTTAGCCATGATTGGTGAGCAGAAGACAACCGATGAAACATGGTGTGGAGTCTCAATTACCCCACGCTGCTGACCGGCATTTTGTTCCTTCTGTAGAATGCTTCTGAAGTAGCAGGCAAGTTTAAAACTTGAAGAAGCAACAAGAGAATAATGGAAATCCTTTTTCCTCGAGTGACTGTGTTAGCCTCTGTCTTGTAGTGTTGAGCAAGGTAGCCAATTCAACCACCATTACATGTCATGCAAATTATTGTTGGTCTTTAATCCGATATCTTGTAGAATTCCCAAAAGACAGCTCTAAGATCAAGTCATTTGAGTTGGTCAATCAAGATCTCTGCTTTACTCATCCTCCTTTTAGATCAAAGCTCTACCAATCCTGCCGTTGGACTATTGGCACTAAATCTCTTCACAGGTCCAGTAAATCTCAATGTTTTCTCATTCTTTCTCCTATCCGAATAACATTTTCTTTTATTGTAAATAACTCGGTCTTAACTTTGAGTTGATGTATCCATATCTCGTTCTACAAATGAAAAGATGCCTTATAATATTTATTACTTGTACACTTACCTAATGTAACTCAAATTAAATAATTAGGTTTTTATACTACTATGACAAAAAACAATCGAAAAATACCTAAATAAATATCGAAAGTTAAATAGTTCAGATTTAACATCATAGGATGGTTCGTTCAAAGGAACTCTATCGTAAAGTTCATGTGAAAGATCCAAACAACTTGGCAAATCGAGTTAATCTGATTATGCTAATAAATAAATATTTTCGACGGTCCAAATTAAAAGTTTATAGGGCTGTCTTCGCAAAATAAGGCAGTCAAAAGTTACAATATACCATAGAACCAAGTGCAAATGTAATGTAAATAGGCAGCATCTCTTCAAGTTATATTGTCTGGGGCAAAGAGTACCATTAAACCAAAGACAAAATATGAAGAGAAACTGAAAGGTGTAGCAGATGGAGTGATAGCAGAACCGCAACACAATTGTGAACGACACAGGATAACTTAGAAGCATATAACTAGATCCCTCATACATAAACTCTCAGTAGACAAGACTCTAAGATGGCAAACTCTTCAGACACGACTGTATGACCAACAGTTTAGCATAGATGACAGGCAACATCTACTCAGAAAGCGTAGACTTCAGCTCCCCACTGTTCTGCAGTTCCAACACGATATCGCATCCCCCTATCAGCTCGCCTTTGTAGTAAAGCTGAGGATACGTCGGCCAATTAGAGTAAGTCTTCAAACCCTGCCTTATTTCTTCATTGGTGAGAATATCAAAAGACCCAAAGCTGATTCCTTCATCCTGAAGGGCATTGACGACTTTGGAGCTGAAACCACACCGAGGAGCATCTGGTGTGCCCTTCATAAAAAGCATTACTGGTGATGAGGTGACCAGATTTTTTAGTCTGTCCTCGAGAGTGACCTTTGGAACAATTCCTTTTTCAGCTAGAATCTTCTTCAGCTCCCCACTCTTCAGCATCTCCATCACGATATCGGATCCTCCAATCAGCTCACCTCCTATATAAAGTTGTGGATAGCTAGACCAGTTAGAGAAAATTTTCAGACCCTGCCTCACTTCATCATCGGAGAGGATATCAAAGCTCTCAAAAGCAACCTTCTCTTGCTGAAGAATTTCAATAACCTTATGACTGAAGCCACACTTCGGTTCCTCTGGTCTACCTTTCATGAAGATGATGACAGGGCTTGAATTTACAAGAGTTCGAAGACGAGAAGCCAATTCAACATTAAGGCCCGTGGAATCAGAAATGCCTCCACCTTTTTCAGGAATAGAAGTCTCGGAGACATCTTTTGCACTTTCTGCAACTTTGGTTTCTTTAGAATTGATAGGAACTCCATGATCTCTGAATACATCTTTTAACTCACCACTTTCATGCATAGCAACTGCAATATCACCACCACCAAGAAGCTCACCCTTGCAAAAGAGCTGAGGGAAAGTCGGCCAATTGGAAAACTTCTTCATTCCCTCACGGACCTCATTATCAGTAAGAATGTCAAAGCTTCCAAATTCCACTCCCTCATCCTTCAAAATTTCAACAACCTTTCGGCTGAATCCACACCTTGGTTGCTCTGGACTTCCTTTCATGAATAGGAAAACAGGGTGAGAATTGACAAGCTGCCATAGGCGCGTTGTCAGTCCACTCAGGTCAGAGTTTGCATTTTCATTTTTGGAAGAATTATTTTCCTTTGCCATGTCTTTCACTGCTTCCAGAACTGTAGGGCCAGCAGCAATCCCAAGGCTTGCAGGTGAAGCAGATTCTACAAGGCTTGTGGATCCAGCAACTTTTGCAACCCTGTTAGCCAAAATGGACGGATTTGCACCCTCAAGTTTATCCACGCTTTTACCATCCTGACAAAAGGTAATTTAACAAATATATTAATGTATTTGGAAGCTGGCAGCCAATAAACAAAATCCTGGGAGGTTCTGCAATGTCACACTTCCACTCCACACTGATGTAGCATGATGAATTCATCAAACCAAACAAAATCACAGGTTATGAGATATCCCTGCTGCGATGAACTGAATTTTAAATTCCCCAGGTTCATCTTATGTTTGAATTAAAAATAATAATTAGACTGCTAAAATATTCCAACAAACACTATAATATTCAAATATTATCATTAAAAAATTGGTCATAGCCCTAACTACATAGATGCTTAAAAAAAAGTGAATTCTCACAAGGAAAAGGATGAAGGTGCTACAATCTTATTTAAGTGAAATATGAATCTGGTTGCTGTTAGCAGTCTAAGTTCAGTCCAATATAACATGTTAATACTCGGAATTGATCAAAATCCTGATACAATGTTGTTCAACAGTAGAAAACCTCCTAAATTTACAGAACATTCCCAATATAAACTTGGTTTCAACTAATCTTCGAGGGGCACCTTTTATAGATCAGAAAAGGTCAATTTATGCTCACCATTAACAAATAAATTGCTGTCCTGAAAGCACTAACCTTGAAGAAAACGAAGTATGGAACAGCTGCAACTGCATACGCTTCAGAAATTTCTGGCTGCTCTTCTGCTTCAACCTGAGAAAATTACAAGCTTCAGGTATCAAGATGTTACACAAAACAGGAGCTGGAATTGACCTTCAATGTCAAAAGACCAGAAGAGATTATGAACCATAATTGAAGAAACCCAACCTTAACCAAGAAAAGGAGAAGCTAGACCAACACAAGGATGCTTTCTTATTGAAAATAATGATATACCTAAAGATTTAGCAAGAAGGAAATAATAAGATCGAGCCATAAAAAATTATCTTCAAATATTAATCTTATATGACATATTTTACTCCATACAACAAATTTGTTGTAGGTGAAATATAGCTTGTTTTAAGGTAAAAATAACACTTACAGAACTCTATTTATATTTCAAATAATACAAAGGACAATCACATCTATTTTCTGGTTGTGGAAACATTTATATGTTTCAATTGTGCATTAATACAATGTAAGCTATATTTACTTTCCATAGACTTTTCCACCTGCTTAATCAAAATCAAGTGACTTGGAGCCTAATCATTTCTCCTTAGATTAAAAAAAAATCCCTGATTAACCTTCTAGTGCATTGTATATTTGCACTTAGGTTTCACTTGACTTTTAATGTCCTATATTTAAATATAATTTATGTTGTTTTTATTAGATGAAAACTATTTTTTAGGTAGTGCCCCCTGTTAAAGCTTAAGATGGAATCTTCTCAAGAAGCCCTAGAAAACACAAATAATCAAGTATGTTACAAAGATTGGCATAAAAGCATGCAATACAATCCAACCTAGACAAGCAAACAAGGACAGGGATAACATTCTTGTAACTTTCCAAGACTAAGAACTCATACATGTGATCAAGGACAATATCATCGCACCAAGTCTAAATAATAGTACAAGCACTTGTTCTTAACATTCAGATTCTTATAAGTTGATCTCATATGCTAGATGTAGAAAAATCTAAAATCTAACTATGATGAACCAGACTTTTAGTGGACACAAAAATGATCTCTTTCCTTCTTATCAACCATTGGTGTCCTTCTTCCTCAATCTCTTCTGTGTTAATCTTTGCTTCGTCTATCATTTTTGAACAAATATGACAAGAAATTTCTTGTGATACAAAATCATCATAAATTTTTTTAAAACCTTTTAAGTGTTGATTATGGTAAAAGTCAAGTGATAGAGGTATTAAGTTAGTTCTGTCTGTAAAGAAAAAATATCCTGTAATGGAATATGTTATTTACCATGATGTAAAACTCATAGAAAGTTTCAATCTGATTTATCAATAACCTAAACAGCTAGAAGTAGAAATAGTTGATAATGTTGTTAACGAGTTTAATGCTAATAATTTCCTACATAGTCTTAACCAATCCAGTTTTCTAAACCAACACATGCATATCGTTACACAACAATAAGAAGGTTACATGTATAAAGACCATAGCAGATCCCAACATGATATGATGGTGGACTCAACTGGGGTGCGATTAAGCAGATCTTCCTTCATTGATCAGGGGCCCAAGAAGGCTAGGAGAGTGCCTCTATCTGTCATGGCTTTAGAGCAGATAGAGGGCCCTAATGGTTCAAAAAAAGTAAAAAGTAGAATGGTGAGGCTTATCCAACTCGAACTGTCCGCTCTTTCTTCTGCTGAGCCTTTTTATTGTAAGGCTTTGACTTCTAGGACTTCCTGTCATTTACTTTCAACTAGTGTGTATCTGAACATAGATTCTGACATGATAGCCATGTGTTGATATGTTCACATTAAGTGTGATTAGCAACTACTAGCACATTTTAAGCTCATTATTAGTGTTAGGTTGATACTGTATGTTGGTGCTAAAGATTAGGATCTACAAAATCATCCTTCACACTAACACCAATGTATTATCAAAGTAGTTGTCCATACTAAATATCAGATCTGAATGAACTATGATTATGTACATGTAATTCCTCCACATGGAAGACTGAAGGAAGAGTGGAAGGCTGTGAGCTGCAACACTAAATATACTATCAAAACGGAGAACATTGAATTGACTAAAAAGTACAAAAGTAATGAAATAATGCATTTTCAACCAGAAGCATCACAAGTTTCAAGGTGAAAGCTCAAAATTACCCTGGACCACACTGAAGAGCAAATAACAGGAACTATATAAAGCTAACCGATAGAGTAACCTAAGGATTACAAGAAGAAGCATGCATGATCCTTACTACTACCAACACTTATATGAACATGCAAGCAAATATTGATCGAGTACTATTCATCTTTTAACAAGGAATCAATTATTCAAAATCAGTTTTTTACAAGAATAGGCTGTGCTTTTGTTTGGAAGTCAGTCTACGTGAAAAAAAAGATAGGATAGGTTGATAAGTAGATCAATAGTGCAGCAAGCAACATAGAGAAGAACCTCCAATATGATAAACACCATAGATATACTGTAACCTATCTCAAGTCGTCCGTTTAGATGATCTTATTCAGACTGAAGCAGTGCATCTTCGAGTGCGTGGGGAGACTAAAGCAACAGTTGCAATTAAAGCAACCATATGCAGGAACCTAAGTTGGCAGAACCTTGTCAAAATTACCCGTTTGAACAGTAAAAATAAAAAAAAATCTCGAGTATTATCAGCAGACGTCTATCTTCACCAGGTTCGGTGCTAATTAACAGAAACCCCAGCCACAAACAAGAACGTTATACCACGCCCATAAAAACCCTAACCCCTTTCCGGTTCGGCACCGATAAAACCAAAAGAACACCGAAAATCATATCATCAGCGACGCAAACGAGTTCAGAACGCTAAGCCCCGTACAAAATCTAGGAGACAGCGAATCAAAGAACGAATCTTTTCCTAAAAATTGCAACACCGAGGGAAGACACAACAAGCGAACGACGAAAATAGGGAGAAGGGGAAGGGGGATACAGACTCTGAGGAAGAGTGCTTGAGGGAAGTCGGTGGCGAGATGGGCGAAGACTTGATCCATCTGCTTCGAGGCCTCGCACCACGACGCCCAAAAGTGGACCACCACCGGCGCCGCCCCGTGGAGCGCTTCATCAAGCTGTGCCTTCGATCCGACGTCCTTAACCACGCCGCCACCGCCGCCACCGCCGCCGCCGCCACCCATTGTGTCAAGCCGATCGAGTGGAGGAGAGATTTCTTCTCACCAGTCGAAATCGACGTATTTATAATTTTAATAAAGTTCGGGTTTGTGGTCCGTTTTTAAAGTTTCTTTATTATTCGTGCATAGATGTTGAAAGGTTCTGATAAAGATTGATTGGACACGACACCTGAAGCACCGAACAGCGAATAAGACGATAACATTATAACGGCCGTTATAATGATTTTGAGGTGTCTAAACTGCCGTTATAACACGATCACTCATATTACAAATGCTTTCATTCACAAATAATTATGTAGCCCGCAAACAAACATTACAGAACATATCATCCTATTGACAAATACATTATCTATTCACATACCTTTTTTTGGCCTTGGTGTTTATATATCATCCTTGGCATTTGTAGAACAATCTAGCAGTGCGTATGGAATGAGCAAATGCAAGTTTAACGTGCCATCTCATCAGAACAAAGTTTATACGAATGCAACGGGTAATGCATGAATACTAAAATGGCTAAAAATTGACTACAAGGGGAAAATCAACAGACGACAGTACCAATCATATGCTTCAAACACCATACTAGGTTGACATGATAAAGAGCCAAAACTACCAGACACAATTTACATAGCATCTGATGATGACATCAGTGTTCAAAATTACACATGGGTCAGAAAAGAAACACTTCCTAATTTAAGCTCACACTTAGACAAACGAAAAAGAAAAACACATCTTAAGATGCCATCGTTGTGGACGTTTACCATGGTGCAGATAAGATAGCTTTGAAATTTTCTTCAGCAGAATTATGTGTCACTTCAGCTTCCAGGATATTCACTTGCAATTTTGATATCTCAGAATCATTGCTGCTCCTTTCCCTGATGACTGAATCTTTTTTATCACGAAAGCTGGCAAGATTTTGCTCCAGTTCCAAGATAGCTTTATCAAATGCTGCAATTAAAGAGTCTAGCCTCTCATTATCATCTTTTTTCTCTAACATCTTCACTTTGAGTGCTGCTTTTCTAGTCTCACACTGCCTTCGGTTGACATGCATCTCAAGCAGGTCCTGAAGGCGCGACCGCAAACAATGAACATTGAATCCATTTGCCTCAAAGGCGCTGAGTGCCCTCAACCTTCCCTCAATAGTTGCTTGTGCATCATCAATATGTATCTGCTGAATATTGGCAACTAAGTTGGCAAATGATATCATAAGACCAATAGCCATTCCTTCGCGAAACTCCATAGAGTACTGCTCCAATGGGTGAAAATGTGGCTGTTGAGGCATTACCTGGAAGATTTCCATTGACTCTATTGGTTCCCACATGGATGAAGTCTTTGAGAATGGCATCAGTTCCTCTTTTAAAGGTGACCCTGTAGAGATGGGATCAATCAGGGCACCCATACTCTCAAAGATAACTGTCTCAGATGGTGCTTTATTGTGATTAATCTCAGTACAGCTTTCCCCAATTACAGATGGAATAATCTGGTCTACAGTGTAAACCCTTGCATTGTTAAGAATACCACCACATGTAGTTCTTAGTGAGCTTGATACAACATCTGGCAAAGATTGTGCTACCAAACACCTGATTCTTGAGTTCCCTGCAGTCAAAAGGTTTTTTTTCTTATAGCATTGGGCATAATCATATTGACAATAATTAACTTCGTTTTTGGCCCTGTAAATGCCTATGGCATCACTAACAGATGAATATGCTGAAGCAAAGACAATGTCAACGAAAAAAAGAAAGGGAATAAAGATCATTCTGACCTTCAAACATAAACCAACTGATAATTGAGCTCACCTACTACATCCAGAATTGGTGTGTTTCCTTGAAGCAATAAGACATCATTTTGTCGGCAAAGTGGTGAAGTAGCTTGGCATAAACAACCTGATAACTCATTCTTATCCCTACTACCATCGCTTGTGAAGACCTCATTAGCTGATTTGTTAGAATTTATAGGTTCACCTAATAATTTAGTATTACAGACGTCAGCAAATAAATTTTACCACACAAAACTTTAAGATAGTAGGGCTTACATCTTATGGAGGCACACATGCTGCTGAAGCATCTCATTGAATCTACTATGCTTGGCCTCCTTTGGGTCTCATCTTGTGCTTGCTGTCTCACACTCTAGTAACCAGGAGAGGAAAAAGAAAAAAAAAAGATTCATGTAAGAAATATTGATTTATGCAAAAATATGATAGAACCATGGAGAAAAATGTTCTTACATCATCACTATTGGCCATTTTTAGACGTCGTGGAGCCTTAATGATGAGCTTCCTTCTTCCCTTTGTAATGTTCAGACTAGAACCATGGACACCTTCAGAGTTCCTCTGTTCTGCATATTGGAAAAAACCATTGATTTCATGACTAATTGGTGCACCACTGACTTGAGTTACCTTTGATTGATGCTCTGATCCATTGCCACTGTTACGTGGAGAAACTTCATCCCTGACTGGTATTTTGGGTAAACCATTCTTATGTGCATTAAGATGCTCATCTAATAAGGGGTTAGGTGGCAATGTTGTACCCACATTGGCCATATCAGCAATTTCCCCTAAAAATGGGCTTTCAGAATGATGCTTCTCCACTGAAGAGCTATATTCTATCATTGGCATTGCAACGGAAAGGTTAATCTCGGTCATTGGAGTTGCAGGGTATCCTACAAGTAGTGAACTACATGGTGATCCCATGCTGTATTCCAAAGAATCCACTTTCTTCATGTTGTTGCAAACTTGTGAACACTCAAGCTGACCCTCCGCTATCTTATGTTTCAGACTCAAGTTAGTAGAGCCAGGTTCACATGTGACATCAACATCAACATCATCATCATCACTAGAAGTTGACACTGAAATGGGAAGATGATATCTTTTGCCAGAATGTGAATTTCGTTTACTACCAGTAGACCTGGCTTCAGTTAGAGCTGTTGATGTCATCTGTTGAGATATCAAACACAATGGCATACGAATGTTCATAAGCATTACCAAGATTTGATGAAAACATCATGTATCCAGCCTTGACTGGAGTAACCACAATCAACAATAAATTCCACATTCCTCGCTACGAACTACTGCATGCCTATGTTGCATACTAAAATACTTAAACATGTAACTGACTGAACAGTCTAACCATCAATATAAATTAATCATTGTTAACTTTATTGTATACTAATGTGTTTTTAGTCCCGCAAACCACTAAGTACAAGTAAAGATTCTACCATCACTATTCAATTCTACAGTGAATTGACATATAATGGCATAGTGGCTGAAAGCACCCTCCCAAAACACTAAAATCAAATTGGTTACACTTAATATCCAGGTTAACAAACAGCCCTAATCATCCATAGGCATTTACAAGTAATAGATTAAACAATTCATATAAGCTAGCAAACAAGTGATTTAACAAACAAATAATTTCTGAAAACTTATGTGATTTAGTTTTATGCCAATCTAAAGCATCATGGGAAACCAATAATAATGCCTCGTTTAAAGCAAAAGTGACACCTGAGACTTGAAAACCCACTGCTGACCATTCCAAAATCGGCGGAGTCTGAGCTCAGCATGACCAAACTCAGTCTCATTCTCATCGTGCAACATCTTGATAATGTACTTGGACCCATTGACTATCTTTGAAATCATTCCTGGCACCCACCCGCCATGGTGAAGCACCTCCACCTCATCATTCAAGGCAAAATCCTTCACCAGGGCTGCATTTGGCTGACAGGTTCTTATGTATTGAGCATCAACAATCTCTCTCAGAAGTTCATCGTTATTCTCAGCTTTCAGATTCTCATACTCTACCAAGACTGTAGTGCTGTTGAACACTTCCACAACACTAGCGCCAAACCAGGCTGCGCCATAGTTCTCTCTGTCCCGACTGACTTCGACTTGAGCTCCACTTGAGAACGCTGGATCTTCAGCTCTCTGACATTAGGCAAAGGAGAAAGCTTTAATACAATAATTACTCGTAGCTAAAGCAAACGGGTCTCCTAACTCATACGCACTCATAGCTAGAGCAAACAGTGGTGGAACAGAAATGTTCCACGGAGACAAAAACCCTAGTCCTCAGAATGAAGCATAATGTATCAAAGATAAAACCATTGCGAGAGGTGCGACCTTTACCTGCTCGTCCACAGGTACCCAGCGGCCGCGTACCCACTGAAGTTGGGGCCGCATTTGAGACTCCTCGAACACTACCTCTTCCCTGCTTGTAGGAAAGGACACGAGGTACCGACTAGTGGTCGGTCCATGGAGGACGGCGAATATGACGCCGGCCCACCACCCGTCGTTGTGGAAAGCCTCGACGAGATCGTGAAGACTGTAGCGGCCTCCGCCGGAGGAGGCTGCGTCCGCGGCCAGTAGCGGCGGTGGTTGGGGGCGTAAATTAGAGCGCTGGACAACCTCGCGGAGGGGCTGAGATGGATCGTGGTCCTCAACGAGGAAGGCATAGACGACCTCGAAGCGGCGCTGCGAGAGCTGCCGGACGACGGTGGCCTCGTACCACGCCCCTCGGAACCCGTCTTCATCACTCCGAACCTCCACCTTCGCCCCCACCGCGAACGCACTGCCGCTGCTCCTCCTCCTCCTCTTCATGCCGCGGGGTCCGTCCGATCTCCCCATCAGGGTTAGGCTTCGATATTTCCAACACGAAACGAGGGGGCAACGGAAGAGAGAGAGTGAGAAGAGACGACGACAAGACCATTGCTCTGGTCCACCCCTGCGGTTTACTTACCTGACGTCATCTTGCTTCCTCGGGAACCGCGACATCGGGAGAGAGGGAGTGGGTGAGAATTTCCCAAGACGCACCCCGGTGTCCGCGACAGGGTGGGTGAAGGGAAAGAAGTGGAGAGGTCGAAGGACGCACCAGTACCAGTGCGCGGATCGAAACACAAAAATGCGGGAAAGTGAAATCTGCCGTTCAAATCTTTTCTCATGGAACATCAGGACCGTCCATCACTTTGCAGGTCATGGATTCTTAAATGATTTTTGCCCACAATTTGACCGAAGAAAACGAATCTTCATAATTTCATACTAATATCTTTTTATTATCTTATAGTTATAACAGATGTACATGTGAGCGGTATTAGTAGCTTTTATGCGGTAGAAAATAACATTATATTTATTTAGTTGAAACAACGACGAGACAAAAATAAGAAACACTTTGGGAGTTCTAATACACACGCAATGACATCGAAAGAGAGCAATCGCCAGAATAGAACGTCCATGTTCCAAAAGATGCCACCACTGCTCTCATCTGCCTTGTGCTCATGGATGTGGTGCCAGGAAGTGACTGCACTCGATGCAATGCCTCGTAAAGAGATGTACCATAAATGACTACCCCTGCACCTTATCAAGATTGCCAGAGAACCAAATAGAAGATGACTACCCCGCAATCTACAATTTATATGAATGGGCTGACAGGCTTACGTGGTAGACATTTATCCACTGAATGATATCTTAACACACAGGGACTTATTTTACCCATGAAATGGCCTTCCGTCTTCGACCTATATTAGCAAAAACCTCATGCACTGAACCAACTTATTATTTTATTTATGTTGATGACACCTTCATATGTGAGGAGATGCAAGGGAGGCAAATTAAATTTATAAGAATATATATATATATATATATATATATATATATATATATATATATATATATATATATATATATATATATATATATATGCTTCCCCACATGTTTTATACAGTAGAATATCTTTTCCTAAGCACAGGAGTTGCAAAACTCTAACCATTTTAGTTCAAAGACAATTTGGCCAAAATGTCAACAGCAGAAAATTACGCTATCAAGATGGCAGGTTATATAAAAGTTGCAGTAATATCATACGGTCAGCAAGTAATTCCATGAATATTAGTGTAGAAAGCTAAGATAAAAGATATGGAAAGAAATAAAAATCCTAATAATGTACATAGAAAATAAAATTGTAAGCTGACAGTGGAGCATGTAATCGAGACATTCCTACTATATCATTGACCTTGTTTACAATCTTGACAAAACACAGGAAGCAATTTCAAATGCTATTGAAATGTTCCATCCTTCGAAAACAAGCATATTTTAAGAGAAATTACAGAAATTGTTTTCATCACCTCTTTTTCTCAGGTAATCTTCGAATAATTGCATTTAGCATGGCAGAATGTGAGGAACAACCATTTACTGCATTGATAAAGCCAACTCATTAGCCTCATCCAGTGACACTTCTTTAGGGAAAGCTTTAACGACAAGGTGTATGCTATCACATCTGGCTTCAAGTCTTCCATGAGAATAGCACTGGAAATATCTCTTACTGCACCAATTTTATCAGTCTAAAAGTTCACTCATTATGACGTCAAAGATTTTTTTTAATGTGTCAACAAGTTGAGATCTTGACAGTTTATCGCAAGGTCATAGGCTCAAATCTCACCTTCGCAAAAAAAAGGTCGAAGGTTCCCATCAAGAGGTTTTTCTGAGACAAGCTATCTTTGATTATTGATCTTAACATAGTCCATCCATTGTTATGTAGTAGGTTGCGATGTCCGTGCTGACTTTGCTACAAGCATCTTCTTATGCAATATTTTGCACAACCATCCCCACCTGATACAATCCATCTAACACTGTTATAAGATATCACTGTGGGTTTCAATACCTCATGGTTCATTTCACCAAGAAATCCTAAAGCCTCATCTGCTTCCAAACTCACAAAAGCCACTGATCAATGTACTGTAAGTAGCAACATTGGCCAAAAAACCAATCAAAACCATAGAATCAAATATTTGGCAGCTTTATCAATTCTTTTCTCTAAACAATATCCATTAATAAATATGTTATAACTGTATCACGCTAAACACCTCCTTGAGTCATCATACCCACTAGCTTTTGTGCTTTGTTGGCTTTCTCATCTTTACATAGAGCATCAATTAATATGTTAAAAGACACATCATCTGGATAAACTCCTTGATCTTTCATCTGTTCAAGTAAATTATTGACTTCTTTCCACTCACCAGATTTACAATTGCCCCAGATCAACGAACTATAACTGTAGACACCTGGTTTCAGCCCTTGATCAATCATGTCATTGAAGAGTGTACGATCTTCTGAAAGTTGCCCAATTTTGCAATATCTGTCGAAGATAGTACTGTAAATAACAACATTAGGTGTCACTCCTTCACCTAACATTTCATTAAACAAAGACATGGCCTCATTCATTCTCCCATTCTTACAACATGCACTAATCAGGATTCCATAACTATGAACATTGAGCTCAAGTCCCTCTTGCACCATGGAATTAACAACTTTTGCTGCATCATTAAGGTGACCTTCCAAAACATATTCGTGCATTAATAAATTATAGGACCTAATGTTAGGCTCGTTACCTCTCACAATCATTGGATTCATTAAAGTGTTGTATGTCACGGTGTTTGGTATAAGACCTCAATTCAACATCTCCTGTAAGAATCCAATGGCCTAAACTAGAATCTCCATGAATAAGAGAAGTATACGTGACGATGTCTGGCTCGACACCTGTAACAACCATTTGCTGAAACATTTCAAAGGCCTTACTCACAGCACCGACTTTGCAATGGGCACTGATTAGTACACTGTATGTCAAAACACTTGGCATACACCCTAGAGCAACCATTTCTTGAAATATCTTGAAAGCCTTCTCCAAAAATCCCTCTTTGCAGAGGCCACTGATGATCGCACCATAAGTTACAGCATCTGGTGCAACACCTTCACAAATCATTTATTCGAAGAGTTTGAAGACACTGTGCATATCTCCCTTCCTGCAAAAACCCTTCTGATGCAATCAAAGTGCCCTGCCCGTGTTCCCGCTATCGCAAAGACCCTTGATGAAAATATTGTATGTGATCAGATCAAGTACGCAACCCATCTCAGGCATTATCTCAAACAGGTTGGCGGCGTCCCCGATCCTCTTCTCCGGACAGAGCCCTCTGATGAGGGTACCGAATATTACGGTCGTCGAACTGCAGTCGCGCTTCAGCATGCCACCGAGTACACCGAAACGCAAATCCACGAGGTTCATGCGGCAGCAGCAATCGATCAGGATGGCAAAGGTGACGGCATCAGAACCCCATTCTTCCGGCTGAAAAGCAAAGGAGAGTTGGGTAGTGTTGCGTCTTCCTCATTCGGGAGATGGTCGTGTGTAGGACGTTAAAAGCAACGATGGATGGTCTGGGGTTGGCTTTCAGCATTCGAATGAAGACGCCGGAAGCCTCTTCGATTTGGAGAGACCCCAATCGATGGCGTTCCTTCACCAGCTTCTCCAGTTGGGCGGCGGTGAGGCGACTAGAAGGAGGAGGTGATGCGGAGCTCATCACGCCTCGTCTTGCAACCGTGATTAGGTGCAAAGGCGAGCGATCGGGGCGAGGGCACAACCGTGCCAACAGCCTCTGCAGAAGTAGGTTGTCGGAGTCCACCCATTTGCTATGTTATAAAAAGCCATAAATACTCCGGCCAAGCATAATTACTTGGGCGAGAATCCTCGGCCAAGCCTTCTTTTTTGTTTTTTATTCTCCGTTTTCCATGAGGAAAAACTTGTTTCATATCTTTGAATGTACGCCACCATTACTGATGTCAAGACCCTGACATACATAACAATAACATAACAATAGATCTCCTTTTTGCTGGATCTATTCCTAGAGTGAATCAGTTCACCGATTTTAGATCGATCCACATAAATCGATTCAATTTCTTAATTATAAAAGTTACTGTTAAACTGAGCAAGAACATAAAAGGCTATAATGGTCAAACCGCCGAAACGATGGATCTGAGCGTTAATATGATCTAACCTTTTAAATATGTGGTTCTCGAGACTAATATTGCTGAACCTGAGATATTTTTGGACACCAATATAATAATTTACGAAAGTTAACATAATAAAACTCCCAAATAAATAGTTCATGATATAAATAAGATTGAACCCAGAGATGGCTCTCGATGTTAACATAATCTAACTCATGAAAAAGTTTATCTCCTGACAATGATGGAGGCTGAATCAACATAAATATATCTTTTGATAATAAGAGTGAATTGTCCCAAATATATCTCACGACAATAATATGTTTGAATTAGTTCAAAACACTCAACTTCGACAATAATATAGTTGAGATGGCCTAAATCATTCCCTTGGACTAAAAAGATTCAAAGTACTTCTATCAATAATAACTCTAATGAAAATATAATCTAAACATTCCAAACTACTCATTATGATATCAACATGGTCAAAACGAGCATTCCCTTCATCAATAGTGCGATAAAAATCGATCCAAAGTGTCATATTCGATGATAAAATTATTGAATCAACCTAAAACATTCCTCAATGATAAGATTGTAAAATCATTATTTTCAAAATCATATGTAAGCAAAAGTGTTCCATCTAGCGTTAAAATTATGGTTATGTAATAATGCATAACCCATGTTTCTACTTAATCCTTCAAATTCCTTACTAATTTAAGCATAAAAGAGATTTTATCAGTCCTAAACATAATTTTTTCTTACAGTATCCTTTTCAAACTCATTCATCTTTCAATATTAAATTTATTACAGATTTGTATTTGAATCAAGGTAAACTCTAAACTCCTCCAGGTATGGGACTATTTTAATAATAGTCAAGATAATATATTACCCTATTTCAATATCGTTGATGTGTGAAATACAATAGCCATATTAGCCTAATACATTAGATAGTATAAATATCCATAAACTCTGTAGGAACGAATTACAAAAATATATTAATGGACAATCATTATATAAGAACCATGGTTCGATCGAAGATTCAACTTTAGATAATACGTTATCCCGAGTGTGACACTGCAAATAGATTTCATAAGAATTTATCCAAAAATTATTACATCTTCTAATAAATTATCTCATCCTTTTGAGTCCTTGCATGATGCAACCTAAATATCTCTAATTAGATGATAGGGAACATTTTAACAACCAATTCCTATCTGCGAATTCGACACCATAAAAGTGTTGACGTGGAAGAAAAGGACCGAGTCATCCCCCCCACGGGATAATGACATGGGAGAGGTTACAATCTGTCGACTCTATAAGGAAATCTAGGGGTGACATCACATGCATTGCGGAAGAACAAAAAATAAAAATCCTAGATTTCCTATAAAGGTGTTCATCGATGTGTGAAGATTGATGCACAAAAAATTATGAAATTAAAAATTATATATGAAATAGTTGTGTTACCGTAGATCACTGAATTCCTACAGATCTGTAAGAGAGGATGAAGAATGTCAATTGTCCTCATCTCTAGTGGTGATCCACACGGTAGGGGCTACGAAGACGCTTCTCGAATCACTGTATAAATCTCTATACCTACCTGTTAAGAAGGAAAATGAGAGAGGAGAATTGGAGGTGACAGTCAAGAAAGTCTAACCTATGACCCATTGGTTCCCTCCTATTTATAGAGGCCCCTTATCAACTTAACCCTAATGGATCCTACTATATTGGGTAGTTGATCTCTATCTAACTACCTAAGCATATTAGATTAGTAGATTTCTATCCAATAATCTATTATTGGATCTTATCCATAGGATCCAATAGTTCAACAGTTTATTGAATATCCAATAAGACAGGGGTTCCAACGGATATCTCACATTCGAACATCTACTCATCGCAATACTTACCATAATCGTGAGTCATAGATGTCAGAACACATTTTATCTCCATAATAATTCTCTCGATTCATCGACTACGAACGTACTAGGTCATTGCGCTGCAATCCCTATACGATATAGAGGAATCCAATCATTTGGACATATCTGTCCTCAGTTACTATGTACTTATAGTTCCTCATCTATTAAATACCCCAAAGATTATGTATCGGGCATGGTGCTGTCAGGACCATATGATTTTTACTCAAGTCTTGCTCTAATCGGATTCTCCTAAAGAACTATTTCTCTCTCAATTCGAATGATTATAACTATGGATTTGTTTGAACAAGAACATGAGATATTCCTCTCATGACACTAAGAATAGATGATCATTTATCGACACTTAATAGTCATCGTAAGGTTAGCTATCACTCTCGATGACCAAATATATTAGATCTGAAACTTCTAGACCTATAAGTCTGGTATCAAAGAGTGGAGTACTCATACAAGACATCTTTGGTGTCTCAAATTTAAGGACCAGATACACTATTGGGATGACGAAATTGCTATCTTATAATAATACATCATCAACCATCCAACATTCCATGAGCGGATCAATCAGTGAACTCATTATCTAATGAGCACAAACACTGTATCCCTAGTATCCTCACACGACCAGCAATAAGACCAACCGCCTCTATCATATGGATGAATATATAGTACACTAGTCTCTTTGATTATCTTGATATCCCTCTCATAACCTATGACTAGAATTATTTAGAGTTTGTGTTTAAAAGCGAATCAATCTCATTATCGTAATCTTATCACGATCCGATTCTCATTCACAAATCTACGGATATCACAATATACGTATGCAATAAGTAATATAAAGTGAGAAAATATAATAATAATAATATGTAAAAAAGATTACGTGTTATGTCACATGTACCATCACTCACGTGATTGGCTTACAAGACACCTATAACTAGTAGGCCCTCGTTGACAACAATCCACAGGGTGCCTGTTCAGACTGGCCCTATCTGCATTTATGGATCATAGTCCATAAGAGGTTATTCGAGCTTGTCCCCCCTTTGTTGGCCTCCATAGACAATAGTTCACGAGAGGCCATTCGGGCCTATCACCCCCATAAACAAAATGCCAATGTAAGGGTATTATGGTCATTATGAAGGATTTCCTCAACCAGTCATGTATAAAAGTCAGATCTCCAATGCTAGCTCAGGGGTCGAACCTATCTCCAAAAATCTCTCATACTCTAGAGAATCCTTAAGAACTAACTTTGAACGTCGAAGGGATCAAGTCAAGAAACTCCCCCCGACAATAACCTTTGTACAATAACTTATTGAAGAGACTAGATTTCACCTCAGCCCAGTCTTGAGGCCACCTCTAACACTCAGAAGCCATCTGAAGACTACCTTGATGTCATATCTACCACCTCGTAGGACTACCACAATGATCACTCGAATGCCCCTATACCTTCAAGTCAATACCAAGTCGGGCTGACTCATGGTCGACGATATTCTCCCATAACATTTTGGCCCTAGAAGGAGGACCTTGAATGTTGTAGGAATGTCCACCCGTGACCCTCTCAATGAGTACTCTAGTGAGGAAGCTATGCCACCAATCCACAGTACCATCACACAAGGTAAGTAGTTGCCCTCCTTTCCTTAGGTCGATGCGTCCATCTTTGCTCAAACATCGAAGTGTTATTGGTGCTTGCTCAACGACCCATGACTCACCTCTGAGTGCAAAAATAGGGTACTTGATTATTCCTATCGAAGTATTCTTGAATCTCACACATCAAGTATAAGCGCTCATACGAATGATGCAAGCCATCATCTCACCGTAGCTAGCTCAACAAGCTACATCGTCGTCACAACCATGGCCGATGTCTAAACCAATATTAGCATCTACGCTCATCGGGGTTCCCCTAATTGACCTAGCACAAGTAGCCTAAGACTACCCCTGATCAGCTGAACTACCGATAGGAGCACCTCGCTAATAGTGGAGTTCAGCGCATTACTGCACCAGAGCCCGACCTTACTTAAATCAAAGACCCAATCGACATACTCAATGGATGAATCCCTGAGGGCCCAACTATGATAGATGGGCCAATGCGTAGACGAGATACATCGAAAGTTCCAATAGTCCAGAAGAGAAGACGCAGACAACCCCACCTCGGGTCGCTCCTCATTCATCCAAAGCATCCAAGAGAAGCTAATCCCGATAAATTTTTGTCTCCCCTCACCAGAGGCCTTTGATGACAACTCTAACTAAGCAAAGCACATTATTGCTTTCCAAGCTCATATATCTCTATACGGTATCTCATATGCTCTAATGTGCCGAGCATTCCCAATGACATTGAGGGGCTTGACATGAGAGTGGTACAATCATTAGAAGCCATTCTTGGTCTCTTCCTTCACTCAGCTCGTAAAAGAATTCGAGCTCCACTTCCTTGGGAACATATGCCTAAGGTTATCTGTAGTAATGTTGCTCGGGCTAAGATAGCGAAAGGACGAAACCCACTTTGACTTCATCGTACGATTCACTAGTAAAGCCTTATGCGTGTAGGATGCCCACCCCTCTTTAGTGATATAAGCTTATATGATGGGCCTAAGGCCCACTTATGCTTCTTCTAGTTGTTAGTGGAGAGACCATCGACAATAGCCCTAAGAGATGCTTTAGAGGGCCAACCAATATATAGCTGCAGAAGCAATGATCTCGAGTAAGTATGAAGAAACTCGCATAAGGTAGTGCCAAGAACCATCTCGGACACTAACCTTGGGCTCATCACAAAGGAGGAAATATGGTCAACCTGAAATACCTCACCTAAGGTCTGAATTAGCTCCCCTCAACATGACAAGGATTGAGATCCGTTACGATGGAGAGAAAATTTGAAGGCTCGCCACGGTGGAAGCTCAAGATTTGCTACAACAAAGAAGGGAAGAAATCTTCTATAACGAAGAGAAGATTTGAAGGCCTATCACAATGAGAGCTTGAGATCCATATGGTGAAGAAGGGATGAGATTTGCCATAATGGAGAGAAGATGAAGGCTCGCCATGGTGGGAACCATGAGATCTACTATAATGAAGTGGGGAAGTCATCACGATGGAGAGAAGAAGCTCGATATGACGGAAGTCCCAAGCCAAAGTGCCCTAGACATGTGAGTTAGAAAATTTTGACCCGTGCCAAGATGAATTTGTAATGACAGAGACATCAAGCTAAATGTGCCTGAGGCATGTGATTGAGAAAAATCTAACCCACACCAAGATGAATCTGCCATGATAGAGACATTGGGCTAAATATGCATGAGGCGTGTGAGTCAAAAAATTCTAACTCATACCAAGACGAATCTGCTACAATGGAAGTCCTAGGTCAAATGTGCCTAAGGTGTGTGAGTCAGAAAAAAAAACTCAACCTGTGTCAAGACGACTCTGTTACGACGGAAGTCCCGAGCTATATGTACTCGAGGCATGTGGGTCGGGAAAACATAACCCACACCATGATGAATCTACTACGATGAAAGTCCTGAGCCAAATATGCCTAAGGTGTATGAGTTAGGAAAACTTGATTCGCTTCAAGACAAACTCGTTATGGCAGAAGTCCTAGACCAAATGTGCCTCAAGCCATGTGAGTCGAGAAAACCTGACTCGCGCTAAGATGAATACACTATGACGGAAGTCTCGGGCCAAATGTGCCCCAAGCGTCTGAGGCGAGAAAACCATGCCTATGCTGAAACAAATTTACTATGACAAAAGTCTCAAGCTAGATGTGCCCAAGGTTTGTGATTCAAAAAAACCCAACCCACACTAAGAAAAATCCACTATGACAAAAACATATGCTTAACGTGCTTGAGACACATGAATCGAGAAAAGCCAACCCATAAGATGAGATCTCGAATGCTCCTGAATGAATCAAATGACACGCTTCAAGCCTCCTCTCACAAAAGCCTCAAAGCACACTTTCGCGGGAGTACAAATGATAAGAAGCATTTTGGCAACCAATCCTTGTCATCTAGTTAGACATTGCAAGGGTATTGACGTGAAAGAAAAGGGTCAAGTCATCCCCCCTCTAGGGGCACTAACGTGAAAGAAAAGGGTTAAGTCATCCCCTCCATTGGGCGATGACATGGGGGAGGTTACGGTCTATCGACCACCGTTGACAATAGTCCATGGGAGGTCGTTCGGACTAGCTTTGTTGGTTTTCGTGGACCATAGTCCACAAGATGTCATTCGGTCCTGTCACCCCTCTATTGGTCTCCGTGGACAATGTCTATGAGAGACTATTCAAGCTTGTCGCCCCCTATGGATAAAATGCCAAAGAGAGGGCATTACAACCATTATAAATGATTCCCTAGTCAGTCATATATAAAAGTCGACTGTCAACACCGACCCAACGGTCAAACTTCTCTCTAAAAACCTCTCATATTATAGACGATTCTAAAAAACTTAGTGTCGAAGGAATCAAGTATAAGAAACTCCTCCGACGCTGACCTTTATGCAAGAAACTCCATCGTGGGATTGCCACGAAGATCCCTCAAATACTGACATTTTTAAGTCACGACCAAACCAGACCAGACTAGCTCACGATCGACGTTATTCTCCCCCCAACAACAACGCGTAAACCCAGAACACAAATTAACCGATATAACATGGTAGTAGTTACAGCATATCATACATGCCTCAATGGGTTCGTGAAAATTCTGAGAGATACCAAACGAGGCACGACCTCAATGATGAGAATCGAAGGGCTAGAGTTTCTGGCGCTCTGGCGCGAGAATCCCATTCACGACGGAGACGCCTACAAGCACGCCGACGGCCTCCGCCCCGGCCACCGCGCCGGCCTGCAGAAGATCCCCAGCAACACCGACGCCGGCCGACGCCACGATTCCCTCCTCCGCTGCCTGGATCTCCTTCTCCGCCGCCACGATGCCCTTCTCGGCCGCCGCGATACCCTGCTCCACCGCCTTCTCCCCCTCCTCCACGATCTCCTCCGCTTCCTCCTCGATCTTCTTTATCCTCTTCCGGAGCCCGAAGAGCGGGATTTCCTGCGACCTGGCCTGGGGAGGGAGAGCGGCGAGGGGTGCAGCGGTGGAGAGGACGAGGAAAAGAAGGCAGTTCCTCCTGCCGCCGAGAATTTGCCGCGGCGCCGGCTGAGGGGAGGATGAGGGTTTGATGAAGCAGCGGACGCCGCCACGGCGGCCGGCGCCGCAGTTAGAAAGGAGAGGGTTGAGGAGGAGCGCCGTGGAAGAGGAAGCCATGTCGACAATCTCGACTTGTGGTTGGAAGTCCCGATAGGTGTTGGAGTTATTGTTATCGTTGGGGCTGCGATCGATAGCCTTCCCTCGCCTTTGTGGATCAGGAAACAAGTCGTTTCCGTGATATTGCTGGACTAAAAAGTCGAATTTACCCTCCATATGTCATCCTTATAGGAACAATGGTTTGTGTCACAAATGGCTAATTATATATTATCCATCTTCATCCTTATAGTTACTTTTAAAAGTTACAGATTTTTATGCTTATAAAATTAAAATATTTAATTCGTTTCTTCTTATATCTCGATTCTGTTAATGAAAATATTATATCATTTATCACTGAGCACAGAGTCTATCTCATTTCGATTTAATTGGCTCACATATTGTGATGATAATGATTGGTGATAAGCCCTCCATTTATAACCAAATGTCGAATTCACCCTTCATAAACTAAAGAGTAATAGCTGGCACCATAGATAGTATACAGTGATGATGGTTATGATTAGAGATAAGCCCTTCATTTATAACAGCCCGACAAGTTGCGATCGGGTTGGTCTTTTCCACCATTTCCGTACAGTTAAACGCTCATGACGGTGTTGATCAAGTTCGTTACAGCACCAACCATCAAGTGCCACGTACCAGATAAATCAACATATCATGAAGATTCATCAAGAAAATATGGTGACTGGGTCGCATGTCCCGAGTAGCTGTCCCGAGTAGCTGATCCCAATACACCGACAGCTTCCGTCGCTCCTCACCGCTCGATACTGATCGTCTTAAAATAAACCCCGAACTGGTGCAAAGCTTCGTCATCAAGCTCCCTCTTCGCCGCACTCCTTATCTTGTTGGTTTCGGCGGAGAAACGGACGAACGAAAGCAAAAGGTGGCGATCGGCAAACAGAGGCTTTCTTTCTCCTCTTTGCCTCCCCTCAGTGCCTTCCTTTGTTCGTTTCTTGCGTCAGTCGGAGTTGACTTCGTGTAAGATCGTGTCGGTAATGTTATTACCTTGATCGCACTCGTCGAGCTGTTATTTTTTCCCCCTCTTTGACGCGGTTCCTTTTCGTGTTGATTTGGTTCGATCTCATCTAATTCTGCTTGAGATCTTGAGGGTTTTCGCAATTGGGTGACGGGACATTGTTTTGTTGCTGTTGGCGTGTTTTGATTCCTTCCGATGCTTCATTTCCTTGCTTCATCTCCACGATTTTGGAACGTCGATTTGATTGCTGGCAGCCACGATCTCCTGTTTGATTTCTGGTTTGCTCCTTCCATCAGATATTTTCTTAATATCTTGCTCCTTTCCGTTCGAAGACCCGCGAATCGTAGTCGCAAAAAGCGTTTCTTTCGGATCGGAATCAATTCCAGATGCTTCTTTCTTGTAGCAGCCAATAACCGCATAAAGGAAGCTTCTCTTGGTAAGAACTGTTTCATTCTTTATCAATGTTTGGACTCTTTCTGCAGTAAAGTTCGTCTCTTTTTCGAACAGAACAGAGGTTAGCGTTCTGCTTTTGATTCAGGGGATCAAGAAAGACAGTGCCTCCAATGACGGGATGCAATCGTGCCATCTGTATGGAAGAGCTGCCAGCTCATCTAATTCTGGAGATACTGAGCTCTGGTCATCTAGGTGCAGCCGACCTTGCATGCTTCGAGGCAACTTGTCGGATGTTCTGTGGTGATCATGGGCTTTTTCCTGACAGGTTTCAATCCATGGTTGAAATCGCTGCATTCCATCTTTGCAAGGCACATTCTATATTCAGTTCTTTCCCTCCAACTGCACGAACTAAGCTGCTTGATCGTTGTGGTGGAAATTGGAAAAAGGTCCTGAAGTTCTTGCAATCTGTGGAGCATTCTTCCAGCAGTGTCGAGACATCATCAGGCAATGTATAGCATTTTTTCATATATAGTGTTGCTTATGCTTTTTTATATATCTTTTTTGGTATTCCGTGATGAAATTATGTCCTATATTTATATACTTTAGGGTAACTTTGAAGCCATAACTTCTGAATTTGTTATGCTCATTTAATTAATCTGTACTTCCATAACGCAAATAAGACTGTTGAGTTTTTAAGGTCCTGTTGGCAAGGTTCTACTATTGTTGGGTAACAAATAATGCTACATCAGCTTTAAGGGAACTGTTTGATACTGCTGTTTGTCCTTTTGTCATCTTTGACAAACGATCATATGTCTTGTAGAAACAATGGCACTCATATCTATTCTATATAAACATATTTAACCTTTAAATAAGCTGGTTAATCAAGGAAACTAGATTTTTGTTTCTATGTCCCTTGTTTTTGCTTCGTTGAGACTCATAGATCAACCGGACCAATGTCGATCCGACCATCTTCTGTGATCCTTGTTGTCTGCAGAGCCATGCCTTGCAAATGACTTCCGTTGATTGGGCTGATCCACCAATTATATTGATCCTCGTCAATTTCCAATCATTTCAAGGAACTAAACCCACAATCAGATTCAATCTATTTTGTTGATCTAGATCAATCACGATCCTATATCCTGTGACCTATCTCAAATCCGACCATCATTTTACAAACCTTGGGAAATTCGAGCTACCAAATTTAATATTATAATTTGCAATTGTTAACTATTGCTTGTGTCAGACTTATCTAATACTTTGGTAGAACTTCAAATTTGGCGAGAAGCTTGTAAGTAATAATTTATATTTATTCATTCCAACAATGAGTAATGACTTTGACAATTAGGGTGAGGTTTGACCAGCTTTTTGCATCTTTGTGTTAAAATGAACATGTATTACATGTTTTGGCACCATTGTTTGCACATAAATTTATAACTTAGAAGCAAAGTATTAATCTAGATGTTCAAGATCAAGCAACTTAAGTTTACATTTGGCTTGTTCAGGATTCTAGGAGTGTTTCTTAATTTATAGAAGTTTTATTGAAATGATAAAACAGATTTTGTCGTTATGGCATTTTATAGAAAAATACCAATATGTTTACATTTAATATGGCCTCTCGGAATATGTTAGTCTGAAATGGAACATTAATGTAGACTCTATCTCTTCCGACAACTACACAATTAACAATTTCAATCTAGGATAGCAGAAAAGTAAGGTGTGTATCTTGAGTTATGAGGTGTTTGTATTAGCATTTATATGAGCCATGAGTGTCCAAACTTGAGCTCAACAAAACCCAAGTTATGAATTTTGCTTTCTCAAAAGACTTGCAGTATTTGAACTCTGAGGCTTTCCTATTAGAAAAACATTGACATATATGGCAGAGCATTTAAATTTTGTTCTTTATTATGAACAAACAACCGAATTTGCAGTTACATTTTTGCTGAAATCTATTTTAATTATGCAGATGCAGGTCACTGCTGGAAGATATCACACACTACTAGTTCATGGCTCATCAGTGTACTCTTGTGGATCCAGTTCATGCGGGGTACTTGGTCATGGTCAAGAGATAACACAATGTGCTGCATTCAGCCGCATTAGTCTTCCATCTCAATCTTTTGTCACCCATATCTCAGCCTCTCACAACCATACAGCATTTGTCGTGCAATCTGGAGAGGTTAATCTTTGAAATTTATGAATTTCGTACAGCAGTTAGAGATTTTTCTTGCTTGGCTGAATGTTTTGTTGCTTTTTTAGGTGTTCACTTGTGGTGATAATTCATCATTCTGTTGTGGTCATGGAGAAGTAGGTCATGCCATATTCAGGCCTACACGAATCGAAGCACTGAAGGGGATTCCTTGCAAGCAGGTATATCATCATGTACCATCATGCAGTTCATACTTCACATTTTTGGTACTGAGAGAGATTCTGTGGCAGGAGCACACCAAGTACTTAGTGCTTAAATTGTTCTGCAAGCCACAAAGATACTCTTAAGGAGTTTACAAAAATATGACAGGAGAAAACCTAGTGTTTTTAAGAGAAAGATAAATATTTGCAGGCAGGTTTGGTAGGATTGGATATTGTTATTTTTTTACATTGTAAAATCACATTTTCAGCCATCAATGTACCTTTTGGGACTTGTTGAAAAATTGATCCTAATGCAGTGGACCAACTAGAAAATGAATGATTTCCTTGGAATAGGTATATACCATGTATCATCACTATGTGATCAATGAAGAACAATAAATTGTCTAAGGTGATCAATTTATGTCTTAATATAATCTCTCATTCTTTCCATAATGTTTTTATTAATAGTCAGACAGTGCTATGGATGGCAACAAGCTGTAGATCCCAATTATTTAATGTCAGCTATATATGTTAACATTGCTCTCATGGTAGTGCAAATCAATCATAATTCCAACATAAGCAAAAGTTTATAGTTAATTTAGTGCCTTGAATCATGCCAAGGACATCTAAATTCTCAATAATGTCATCAAGAACTTGTCGAAAAATACTGACTGCTATATTCTAATGGAATTTTTTCTATTGTTGAAGAATTTCTATGTTTAAGGACGTTAATCCAATCTTTGGTTTTCCTGTCTGTTTGTATCAATCTTCTGGAGAATTGCTTTTTCCCTTGAATTCTGACGGAGTGTTTGCTTTGTATGTAGGTGTGTTCCTCTAGTTTCCTATCTGATATACATGATAATGCATAATCGTGTTGTCAAATTTTTTGAAGTACTATTCGTTGTGAAACTTTATTTTAATTTGTTCTCAGGTTGCCACTGGGTTAAGCTTTACTGTGATTCTTACAACGCAAGGCCAAGTTTACACATGCGGTAGCAATGCACACGGCCAACTTGGTCATGGCGACACTGTAGACAGACCAACTCCAAGGAAGATTGAACTGTTTGAGGGACTGGGACATGTGGTGCAGATTGCTGCAGGTGCGAGTTATACCTTTGCTGTGACAGATGATGGGGTAGTTCATTCTTTTGGTTCTTGTACCAATTTTTGCCTCGGGCATGGGAATCAACATGATGAACTTGTTCCACGTGCCATCGAATCATTTAAGATGAGGAATATTCATATAATACGTATCGCTGCCGGAGATGAGCATGCAGTGGCAGTTGATTCAAGTGGATATGTATGGCTCATTTCTAATGATTTTATTTTATTTTTGGATTGTAAATTCAAAGTCAAATTTTCAACTGTTCTCTTCTAACTCTCTTGGATCTGTGGAAGAAATTAACCAAACAATTACTTTTCAGGTATATACATGGGGTAGAGGCTATTGTGGAGCCTTAGGCCATGGGGATGAAACCGATAAGACCAGTCCGGAATTATTGACCAGCCTGGAGTGTCACCTTGCCGTGCAGGTTTGATGTCTTCGCTTTTCTCCATTTCAGCTATGCTGAATCAATAGATTTCCAAATTGTCAGTACACTGGTATGACATAGTAGTATCTAAAACGAGACAAGTGAACTATCTTTTGGAATTTCAATGGTATTTATTCAAGAGAGAAAAGGATATTAATAGTTATGCAAATCCAAATATCCTATAACAAACTATAATGCCTTTAAAGCAATGTTCTGCCAGTTTTCTTATCGTTTCTAATTGCAATTGGACGTAGGAGAAGCCCGCAAGATCCTTACAGTACAAGTTTCTAGCTTTTGTGTTTATTAATCCAAACCTTCCATTTGAAAATATTTAAAGACCCTACAATGTTTTAGTTATTAATATTGAAATAGGAGGAGCACATATTGTGCCTATGATGAGTTATCATACTGCTAAGAATTGCTATTATAATTTGGAAGATTAGTGAATAATTTTTTGATGATGCAACAATAATGTTGACAAAAACAAAAGTATTGTTCTACACCATGAATATTATCCCATTTTTTGTTTAGTAAGCACCTACTTCAAGAACGTATGTTATTTTGTCATTAATTGACTAATTTATCTGGTTCCCTCTTGTCAAGGTTAAATTTCATAAGCACCCGAATAATGAATGACCATTGTGCTTGATTTGGCAGTACAATATGTCTACTGATCGTCTGCTTGGCCACTAACAAGTGCAGGTGTGTGCAAGGAAAAGAAAAACCTTCGTGCTTACTAATGAAGGCTGCGTTTTCGCCTTTGGATGGACGGGTTTTGGAAGTTTGGGGTTTTCTGACAGAGGAATCTCTGACAAAGTTCTCCAGCCATGTATGTTGGACAACTTGAGACCCCACCGCGTCTCCCAAATCAGCACTGGACTGTACCACACTGTTGCAGTCACCAGCAGAGGTCTCCTATTCGGGTTTGGGGACAACGAGCGGGCACAGCTTGGGCATGATGAGATGCGAAGTTGCCTGAAGCCAGCCGAAATAATGGTTCATCAGGCAATGGACGATACGTACATTGAAGTGCAAGATAATTGAAGATTTTGTTGTGTACGTATATGCATTTTGTTCAGCTTCCAAATGAATGTAGAGTGGTCATGGATTCTGCTAATGTAGTTATTAATAAATAAGAGACTCCAATATGTTTTGGTTCCTGTTGACTTGTCTTCTAGTGGTGGGTTAATTACAGGGTGGACTGCTCCATCATAGAACAAGAAGGCGGTGGCAACTACAAGTTCGTGGTGACTGCTGTTCGGCGGCGACAGCGAGGCCGATGGACATGAAGTCGGGGCCGAGGATGACGACAAGGACCAGCTTGGACGCCATGGAAGGGAGCCAATCTCTGTCTTCCTTGTGTGTAAATATATATACTCCAAGTGAGGTTTATGCTCTATGGAGAGAGAGAGAGACGGAGAAAGAGAGAGTTGTTGCCTCATTCTTGGCGATTGCAGTCAAGATGACCTGCGACCCACTCTTGGGCCATCTTAAACGAGCTTGCAACGAGTTTTGGGGCGCTCCCATTGAATTGGGCTTCACAATGACGAAGTAGACCTCTCAAGGACTCCCATTCAATTGGGCTTCCCACTACCATCAGCAATGTGATCTTCCAACATCTCATTGAAGTCAACAGATGTCTACAAATATTAGGACAAGTTTTCCTTGCAGGAATTATTACTCTATGCAGTAGCCTTCTGCAGACAATTTTGTAGTTTGGTCAGTCAAACATAAGTTGCTGCAAGCACGTAGGGTTGCTTCAAATGCACACAAAAAGGTACTCTATATGCCATCCTCATTCCAAGGAAGAAGAAGAAGAAGGAAGAAGCCCATGGCAACTGACAGTAGAGGAACAGGTAAGTAGGAGGAAGAAAAGGAACATGCCGCAAACGAGACAGCGAAAATGACAGTTGACATAGCCGTTGCAAAAAGATTAAAAACACCCTTAAAACCCGACAGTACAACGACGAAGAGAACAACAAGAATCTTTGTATTTGATGTAGAGGTATGTTAATAACGAGGGGACTTATCATTTGCGATCTCACAAAAGTGCAGCAGACCTTTTCGTAAAGATACCACAGCCAACGGCTCCATGCCCTTCACACGCGCATCACATCCCGCCCACTCCACGAATTTGAAATCCATATTATATTCCTTAAATACCCCTCTTCTTCATCTCCACGAGTTCAAATCTCCTCCACTTCCGCAAAAGCGGTTGCGTCTTTCCAAAGAAGAAGTCAAGCTTCGAGCCTTCCTTCTGTTGCCACCAAATGGGGCTTTGCCTTAGCAAGAAGAAGGCGGTCTCGCCGCCAAGGAGTGCTCCCACTTCCTGTAGCGCCCCGAGCGACAAGAAAGTAGAGAAGCCATCTCAGAGAGTGGTGGAAGCAACCGCTGAGAAGAAGCAGGTGTTTGTCGTCGCCCACAACGCCAAGAAGAGCGCGGCCGAAGACGACAAGGAGAAGAAGCGTGGCGAGACCCCGACGAAGAAGACCGGCAAAGAGGTCGAGACTAATGGCGCTGGTGGGGTCGTGGTGGTGCCTGCGGTGGAGGAATTCAGGCCGGTTGCTGCCGTCAGGACCTCAAGCTGCACCAAGGAGGAAGTGGACGCCATACTGATCCAGTGCGGCCGCCTCAGCCGCAGCTCGTCGGGGAAGGCCTCCGACGAGACGGGGATTGGACACAGAAAGTACTCGGGTTCGAAGCGCAGCTATGATTTTGACAATGAGAAGAAGGGGGATGAGGAGGAAGGGGAGTGGGGGGAGAAGCCCGCGTCGAGGCCTTCCCCTCGCCGGAGAACGCCCAGCCGGGAGCGGTCGGGGAGCAGGGAGCGAGGAAGCGGTGGCGGAGGACGGAGGGTGAGCCGATCTCCCGGGAGGCGCTCCGAAGTGCCGGCTTCGTCGGGCACCCCCAACGAGAGGTCGAAGCCGCCAGCAAAGATGGTGGCTGTTCCGGCACGTGAGAAGGGGAGGGGAGTCTCCCCTGCTGCCTCTAACAAGAGAGGTGGCGAGGCCGGAGCCTTGAGGAGCGCTTCACCTCGGTCGCGGTCGCCGGCGAATACTACTCCGATATCTAATGAGAATGCTACCTATCATGTTCCGCCTCCGAACCAGCCGCAATCCCTCAGCCGGAGCTCGTCGAGGAAGGCCGAGCAATCGCCGTTTCGCAGGAATCCGATGGCAGAAATTGACGAGAACGCCCTCAGAGCAAACCAACATGCGAGCATTGATAACAAGATTCAGAAGACCAACGAAGGCGAGGAAAGAATTCGGAAGCTGAGCCAATCGCACACGCAGGTGAGCAAGAATCATGTGTTGCCCACATTTTCTCCCTTCGTTTTCGCAAGTAATCGTTCGTAGATTGTGATTTCGACTTAATTCATCACAGAAAACAAGCGAAAACAGTATTCGAGCAAGCAAATCTTCTTCGCAAAGAAATGGATCAGCAGCAGAGTTCACAAGCGCAACAAGAAGCAACGATGTGCAGGTGATGAGCTGTAGAGCGAAAGAGCTAGAGACGGAAGCTGCAGTCGCGGAAGAAGCCATAGCAAAAGCGTCATCCAAGGTTACAGAGTCGCCGAATCTTGGGGTGGAAAGCCACATCCTGAAGACCATTTCAGGAACTAGATCCTCCAGAGATCTCGACCACCCTTCTGAGCTGAACCAGGAAGCCTTTCTCAATCCCAATTCCTATGCTTCTTCTCTTCTTGAAGACATCCATAATTACCAGCAGCAGCTTCCGAAAGCATCCTTCTCCCTCCCTGCTTGTGTGTCCAAGGCCTGCTCGATCCTCGAAGCAGTGGCTGATCTCAACTCCGCTTCGTCGGAGAACAATGGCTCGCTCAATGGACGGCACCAAAGGAGAGGTTCGGCATCGAAAGTGCCATTTGTGGAATCGGAGATTGTGGTGAAGGATGATCTCCTGGAGCCAAGCCTCCATAAGTATGTTACAGTGAGGGACATGAGGAGGAGCGATGTAGAGCCTCAGGAATCCGCGGGGAGCAACAGCTTCATGGGACAGCCATGGTCTTCGGGGTGGGAGCCCAATTCGGTCGATTCCACGGACCGCTACCAGAATTCAAGATCGATTGATGGTGAGGAGGTGGAGGAAGAAGAAGCCAACCAGAGCCCGGTGAGCCATGGGAGTCGGTACCACCAGCAGCCAGTTCCCGAGGTTGTACGAGAACCTGAAACCCGAGGAAGAAGATCGAGGGGTGTCTCCGGTAACAGCAGCAACCATCGGTCTCCTGCGAAGTCGAGCAAGAACAGTAAGAGAGAACTTCATCATCGTGTCCAGCTTCACCGAACTGGTAGTGGTGACAGTGGTGGTGGTAAGCCGGGCAGTAACCGAGCCTACTCTGCTGATGCTTCGAGCTCGTAGTGGCTGTACCAATGCGCCTTGGTTCTACAATCTTTTGGTGCCATGGCAAGGGAGAATTTGCCATTGATGATGTAATTTCTCTTCTCCTTCTTTCCACACAATCTCAGATGCTGTGGTGGAAATGGTTGTGGCAATCTATGCTTGTAGTTGGCATTCAAATCTTGTTTAGTTCTAGGTAGAATTCCTTCTTATTATGCTGTAACAGTAGTTTTTGCATGTTACAAGCTTGCTCATGTTGCTGCAGCAAAAAGTAAAAAAGCTAACTTTCTTCTTTAGCAGATACATCAGAGAACTGTCACAAGGTAAAGCAAAGGAGGAGGGAAAAAGCATCTGGATCTCCAGATTCATCTAATAAGAGGTGTCAAACATCACATCTCATTTAAATCTTCCTAATCCAAACCAATTAGATCTTAGAGTGGGAAACCAAACTTGGGATTCATTGACAGTCACATCCAGTATTTGTTGGTCAAATCTATCACACATCATTCTCCACTATCTCAGTAACCTTTGATAAGGAACAATTTAAGATGGTTCCAAGGTTTGGACCATTCATCCTCCAAAGTTGTCATTGAGCGCCAGTAGCAAAAAAAGTAACTTGCCCTTCAGAGGTATTAGTTGGAGTAAATGTCCTCACTTTGCAGAACTTCTGCTAATATTCTCTTGGTTGGAAAGCAAACATAGACTTTGGCCAATAAAGATGTATCTGATCTAAGTGGTCCTACGTTTTGATGTTTTTATTGAGGTAAACACTCTGCAGGTGATCTGAGAAGGGTCGACCACTTTTTATCGATGCTATAAGCTGGCAGATTGCTTTCTCTTTCAAACCATTTGATGAGACTGCAATTGCACGCCTCTTTTATAAACCAAAGGGTAGACCACAACGAAGATCACAACCTGCATTAGGATGTTCTTCAAATAAATTTGGTTGGTTTCTATTCAAAAGCCTTTTCCGATTAGTCTTCAGGAGCTGCCGTAACATTCTGCTACGAGTTCTCGTTTTCTTTTTTGTTTGCACGGTTCTCTGCAAATCTATTTTCTTCGAGTTGTTGTTTTGATCTGTGAGGAGTTATGATCTATATATGTTTCATACTTTGGTCAGCGAACGCTATTAAAACTGTCATAGAAATCATGCTTCAAGGAACATAACGAAGTTTGTGTCACACTATTACTCCATAGAGAAAGGCTGCTCATGCTGTGGTTGTCATGGAGAAGATCGGACAAGGTGTAATTGCTAAGATTTAATTGTAATGCATTTCATCGTGAGCAAACAATTTGAATTCTAGATACTGTTTTAATTGTTTTTTTTTGCCATTAATCAATCACAACGGTGTAGTCTTCACTGAATCGAAAAATATAGCAAGCTTGTTCATGAAATATGTGAAAGAAACGGGCTTCTGCATCTTTGTGCTCCAACTCCAAGTCTTACATGGCAACGAGCATAATGTTCTACTGCAGTGTCAGAATGTACATCTTGCAAGCATGAGAGTCCACCGTAACGGTGATTTGCCCTTGAAGATTGCCAATATCCGCATGCTGAACATGAATCAAGAACATGAAGCTCAGTAAAAATTTCCAGCAACATTTGGAAGATGTTTAGATCATAGAACAACAACATATATCCGATACTTACTGCCCAAATATCACGAGCTTTAACAATAGCCGATGGTGACACAATGCCGATGTTAGGCCATTGGGCTGTGATCGTTGCCCTTGAGCTTCCTCGGTTCCACAGGACGACAGCCACCCTCCCGCCGCTGAGTACACCCGCCCAAACCTACACAAGCAGACAACAATTGCAACGTAAGGAAAGAATCACATCAATTCTCAAGATCTTATCTCCGAGATACATTTTCATCTTCCATTATATGCAGTCTAAATCAGAAGAGTTCTTCTTAGGGTTTGGATAACTACTCTTCCAGAATTTGATCTTTAGGATACAGAAAACAAAAGATATAAAGTAGTAATTTGTCGATGTAGTTGACATTGTCGCAGATGCATTAGACTTATGAAGTCTCCGTGTAAAAGGATTGCAGCATAAAGAAAGGAGCAAACCTCTGTATTATTGGGTCCCAAAACTATCTTCCTCCCTTGAACTCCAAGTGAGTCTGTTGGCAGAGACCAATCAGAATGAGAACTCTTTTATATGGTCCTACTGATTGCTTTGAAGCCCATTTGAAATGGCAAATGGAATAGCATTCATTAAGCTCTTACCTTGATTAACAGCAATGACTTCTTGGTTGCTCAGTATATCGTATGCTTCTTTGGTAATTGATCTTACATCACATCCAATCAACAAGGGAGCCTAAAAGATTGCAGATCAGTAATGCAGCTGAAGGATATGATGGGAGGCAAATGTTTCCCATATCGAGAGTAAATACCTTGACCAATGCCCATATACTAAAATGCGATCGATACTCCTCTGTTGTCATCCCGCCATTTCCGACTTCAAGCATATCCGGATCTAACATCATTCAGACAAATATGAGAAGATGCTTTTGGTCATTGCTCACAACACTACTGCAACCATAAGAATTAATGTTAAGGTGAAGTACCATTCCAGCCACCAGGCTTTGCATAAGCTGCCCATCTATCGTTCTGATCGGCAAGCGATATCATCCTAATATATTGCAGGTAAAATACAAGTTTCTGAACGAGATTAGAGAAATCAAATGTAGCTTCTGAAACAAACATCTCGATCAGGTAATCTCTTCAACCTGTCCCATTTGTCGAAGATGTCTTCTGTTGTTCTCCAACTGTGTCCTAAAGTGCTTGCCCAAGTTGCTGGATCATCGACACCCCTGTGATGTAGTTTTTTTGCAGAGAGACAAGTCAAATTTCTCTGTTAATTTCCATCTGATGCACTGTTTGATCCAAATTCGCTGGAATAATCAGCTTAGTGCAAGCAAACTCAAAACCACGAGACAAGAGGTACAAAAATGACTTCAGTGTCATCACAGGCACAGTGGTTAGTATGATGCACCATTAGGAATCTTACTGCTAATTTGTCTATCAAATTTTGTGTGCAGGTTGATGTGAACAGGAAACTAATCAGAAATGCTTTGCTGCTTTAGCTGTCAAGTCAAATATGATCCCATCCACTCATTCGTATCCTAGCTAAGATTAATCTATAAATATAAAAACTCATGTTGAATTCTGCTCTTATGAACTTTTGGGGCAATCAAACCTACCATTCACATAGAGAGAAGAAAATAGGCCTTCCACTATTCTTTAGAGCTCTGCTCATCTTGGGGTACCTACGTTGCGAAGAACAATTCAGATACCAGTTCATAAGTTTGATCACCTGCTGGAATCTGATCATTTGATATAGAAACCAACTTCTTTTTAGTCATTGACCATATAGCTACCTTTCACTTGGTTTGAGACCCTGGTCGTTGCAGTTGTCATACTTCAAGTAATCGATCCCCTGAAATCGAAGCCATGAGAATGCAGACATACCAAACGGCTGAGACGTTAAAGTAGGTAGTTGAAACCATTGCATACCCAGGCGGCAAAGGTCTTTGCATCCTGTTCTTCATGTCCCAAGGAGCCGGGCATTGTCTTGCTGCATGTCAGCGTCCTGAGATTTCTCACCATTAGACTACATCTATGTTTGCTTGGAACAATAAATCTCCAAAGAACTACCGGTAGATTCATCTGAATGTAGCCCTTTGTTGCATTGCAAAATTTATGATGCTACATAGTTTTATAGGGCTATCCTATAACGCATTTAATGACATCTCAAATGCCTACTCATTGACTAAGCCCTACATCGCAGAAAGGTGCATGATTTAATCTTTGTCTGATGTCATAAAATTAATACCCTGCATCACTGTAGATTCCAAGCTTAAGCCCTTTTCCATGCACGTAATCTGCAAGCGCCTTAATGCCAGAGGGGAACGTCGACTTCTTTGGCACTAAATTTCCCTGATAAAAAGCTCAAATGCGTTAGCATCATGGATGAGAACAGGAATTTGTGATAGAATACAGAAACTGAGTTCATGAGTATCCATGGCGCAGGAGAAAGGAGATGAGATGGGACATAATTCTCACTTGAGAGTCCCTGTTGAGTTCTGCCCAGCAGTCATCTGAGAGTGATCCAGAAACCACCACCACGACAACAGGAAAACGAGTCAGTAAATTAAACCATTTAACCACTGAATCAGTCAATCAAAACGATAAGGTTAGATAGAGATAGAGGAGAAGACAACCTATGTTGACATATCGATAACCCAGATTGGCAAGTCCACTGTTCACCAGTGCATCAGCTGCATAAGCCAGCAAAACATTTCATAGTTTAGCATCTGTTTTCACGATTTGTTTGGTAGACTGCGACGCAAGTTGGTCATCTTCTTTTTGACAGTAACTTCTGGTGGGTTGTAAAAGGGAAGAAGACGAAGACTTTTGGTGAAATATGATGATCTAATAATCCTCAGGTCAACGACGGTATTGCTGTCCCTTCACGTGTTGACTCGACTAAATATTCCCCGGACAGCACACCGACGTTATTGCAAATGACTTTGCATCATATCAAGGATTAGGTCGGGTGGGTACAGCAACATGAACAAAACCTAAAACACGAAGAGAAGGAGAGAGACGAGTGGTACCAGTTTCTCTGATGGTCTGCTCGTTGATGTTGCATTGGAAATGGTTCCAGCTGTTCCACCTGATCCAGTTTTTTCAGATCAGTATCGGTATCACATATATGCACAAAGTCAATTTGTTGCTTCGAAGATAGAGCAAAAATGATTCACGTGAAGTGTAAAGAACAAACAACAATGTTCTACGGAAGAAAAAGGATGATTTTTTTCTCTTTTGAGGAATAATGCTCATAAACGAAGAACATGAACGTTCCTACAACAAAAACTCCCACGTGAATAGATAACAAGGTTTGCCTATGAAGCACTGTTGCAGGAGAAGATAATTACCCCATGGGAGGAGTCCGGCCGAGGCCATCGTCCAACACGCTTCTCCTCTCCACCGCCGATGCCCCACGTTTCGTGACTCTTCCTTCCGATACGATCATCGGAAGCAAGACGAAGAGTAGGAGAGTTGTCATCGTTGCCTCACCTCCAGCTCGAGCCATCCTGATATCCAACCCAAAGTCACCATACACCGATATTTATACAGCATCAACGTACGGAGAGAGGAGTGGGCGAAGAGAGAAAGGTGCAGTTCGTCGATGACCTGTTCCACCAATGAAGTGCGACGGATGGCGTGGGACCCGCCACGGCGGTAGCGACCGTAGTCAAGGTGGGTGACGTACCTCGGCGTCGCGTCAAGGGGTACACCTAATTAGCTCAAACCAGCTCCCCGAATCGTATGCAATGTATGTTACGGACTTGTCCATATTGGTGGGAAGGGAAAGAATGTATTCGTTAGGATAAACAGTGATATGCTGTAATAAATGCATCATCACTGTGCGATCGAATACGATTAATTATCGTCGCCACCATCATTTGGTCATCATAATTCCCGACGTTGTTCTCGTCATCGTCATCATTAATTTTCCATAACAATTATCGCTATCACCACTCATATATTTTTAGCGTTATTACTATTGTTATCATTATTCATTACTATAATTACTATCACTATTTCCACCACTATCATCGATATTTCGAATGTCATTATCGTTATTATTGTTGTAATCTTCATAGTCATCATTATTAACAGCTTCCGTTTCTAGCATTATTCCTATGGCTATCTTTAGTTGGTGGGTGAAAGAAAAAAAAAAGATAGAAGAAAAAGTGGTTTTAGATTTCCACGAAGAGATTAATTGGAAAGAAAAATAAATATGAATATGGCAATGAACAAATTAAGTAAACACCATCATATTAACTACTTAAAATTTGACTCCATATATGTTGTATATTGTTTCTATAAAATTTGAATCCATATCTGCTATATATTGTTTCTATAAATGATTATAAATTTTAGTATTCATTAAGCAAATTTGGTTGTCGATTCAACCAAATGAAATTGATCCTAAAAATAAATAGTACTGTCACTATAAAATAAATAAAGACAGTTGAGTATATAAAGATTGGACCTAAAAATAATTTTAAAATAGAAAATGTCCCATGTATCCCCTCTCATTTTTAATTCAAGGATAGAAGATGTGTATATTTTGGGGATCTCCTTTTATGCTCGATAGGCATATTACATGCAAACATGATGATTTGGGATGCATCACATTCTTCAGTTATGTTTTTATCATGAATCGATACCTCATATGTCAATGAAATATTTTGAGATACATCGAATATTTCATATGTTTTCTTATCTTAGATCGATATAACACACAAATGAGATACTTTGAGATGTATCAAATGCAGTAAATACTTTTTTGCCCTAGATAACGCATCACATACAAATGAGATGCTTTGGAATTCATTAAACGCTTCAAATGTTTTATTGTTACAATGAGACATTTGGGATATGTCAGGTGCTTCAATTTTATTTTTTTTTTCACCTAGGTGGATGCGTCTCACGTGTTAAAGTAGATCTAGCTATTTGACATGTTGAGAATTTAGAGCCAACCTAGGTCCATCGTCAACCCTAGATTTCTTGTCAAACTACATGAAACTAGTGGACCATTTGGTCAACGTGTTGAGTTGCCAAAAAATCCAAGTCGATGTAGTGTCGATAATCATGTTTAATCCTCCATATAATCGACATCCTTATCATTTACGCTATTGTTAACACGTAAAGGGTACCAAAGCATAATGTAATAATAATTTAATGATTCAACCATGTCAAGTCTTAGAGGTTCAAATATGTATCTTCATGATTGTGCCAAGAGACCAAGAATGCTGCATGATTAAATTTGATTACTTTTAGAGATAATAGATAGTTCATGGCCAGACTCAATTGTATTAGGAGTTAACAAATATTTCACAGTTGAATTTGGTTGCGTTAGGAGATAATAGATACTTTATGGTTGGGTTCAACATTGTCAAAAGATAACGAGAATTTGATTTTATTATGTCAGGAGATAGTAGACACTTCATGGATGAATTCTGCTCTGTTATAAAATAACAGACACTTCAAAGCTAAATTTAGAAGCATCAAGATACTTTATAGTCAAATTCATCTGACCATAAAGGATATTTTATGGTCAAATTTATCTATGTCAAAAGATAATAGATGCTTCGTAATCGGGTTCATTAATAAATGATTAATTATTTGATTCCATTTGATGCTTTATGGTCAGATTTGATCATGTTAAGAGATAATAGATGCTTTATGACTACACTTACTAGAGATTTGAAATGACTAAATTCAAACACATCAAAGAGATAATAGATGCTTCATGACTATACTTACTAGCATTAGCAGATTTGAACACTTCATGGTTTGATCCAAAGGTTGAAAATTATCTATCCTTTACCCTTTCTCATTTTCAAGGCTTACGAAAAAACTCTATACTTGAAACACTTCTCTCTCATCAAAGAACAACTTTTATAATACAAGAGAAAACTTTTCGTACTTAAGCTAAAATATCTTTAGCAACTCTTATCTCAACTCACAAACCATATGAGGTATATATAAAGGCTCCGAACGCCTCAAAGTGAATCAAGGAAAAATATTTGAAAACATAATATTGAAGGTACTCCAATCGCTCCGAGTAGTACAAATACTAAACAACCAAAATCGCATTACATTGAAACGTACTACCACAAGTGGATAGTACTATCATCAGGTTGGGTGACAAGCTTTCAAGCCTAATAAGAGCTTAAAATAGCCCAAAAACTAAATTAAGCAATCTAACCTCGTAAAGGTCTATTTTGAGTTTATCTACCAACTTAATTCTAGTTCTATTAAGCATTTGTACGGGCCTAATAATTTAACTAAAACTAAATATGTCAACCACTCTTTTAATACATCAAAACTTTTGATATATTATCCATTCTTCTCGTATATCATCTAATCCTTTTGTACTTTATCTAATCATTCAATATATTACCTAATTCTTCAATATATTAACTTTACTATGATATTTGATCTTCTGACACGATATTCGATCTTGTAATACAATGCTTGGCATTTGATATGAAGTCTGATCTTTAGTATATTAACCAATTTTATTGACTTAACATCCAATTTTTCAACACGATAATATTCAAGCATAATATCTAATTATATAATTAAAAATTTAACCCTTCAATGGCCCAAATCCATAGTTAAAGTAATTTTTGCATCACTTAGCATAATATTAATTTCTCAAATTTATCAATTAATTTTATCATCAAAATCTGAGACTCAAAAACTTTATAGCTGGATGCTTCATGGACATGCTCGTAGATAATGAAAACTTCATAACCAAATTTGACTATGTTAGAAAGTATTAAATTCTTTATGATCAGATCGAATAAAGAGGAGGCGAAAAGCCTTAACTCCAACTATAATGACACCATCTCTATCAAAAAGGCCTTGATCAACATAGGTAATTTTATTCACATACATTACTATGACACATTTTACAAGCTAAGGTTAACTATTAATGATCTTACCCCAACATCTTAGTTTTTGGTATGGTTCATTAGTGATTCCTTCTACCCCCGTCAGCATCATCAACTTGTATGTCAGGTCCGACTCATAGCCTTGCTCAATGATAATGTTGACAAAATTCATAGAGGCTAATATTTTGTTAGCATATGATGTTATTATTGGTTAACCTATACTAAGTACCTTCACATATTGATAAAATTTCCAATAGGATCAAGAGTCAAAAAGGAAGTCAAAGAGCAATCTAATGAAGTCTAGTGTATGCTATTTGGTAATGATTTTTCTTCTAAAAGAGGTGTCATAATTGATAGATCCTCGAGATGACATTAAGCGTTTTCTCACTTCAACCTGCTAATCATAAGTGCTATGTAAGCCAATCACATGAATGATGGTACGGGCTGAAAGCTTAAAAAATGAATCGATGAGTCAAGATTTTGATTAAGATCATTTTAAATTAATATTGAGCTAAAAAGGGCCCGCTTATCATAAAAGCTTTTGGACTTGTAACAGGATTAAAATGAGTCTACCAAAAGGTCATGCTAGTAGTCTAAACCGGGCCTAGGAGATAATACCACTGGGCTTAGAAATACCATCTAGAACGATAATAATACTATTTATAATTTAAATTTTATGATAATAAGATCATGAAAATTTAGATTTATGATTCATCAAAATTTAATTATAATATCGCTCAATATAAGTGATGGTCGAACAAATCGAACGTGACCCTTGTATGATTACGCCGTCACTAACCTCCACCCTATGTCATAAAAGGAGAAAACAAAAGGTATGATACTCATCTTATGTTGTGATTTCTGCATGTAGACTCTGTTCCAATCCTGTAGAGATTTACTCTGGATTATCTGATCCGAGAAGAAATTCCACCTCATGCGGCTGTTTGTAGAATCATTTCATCCAATGCACAGTCGGAAGTGTATATATGTATGAGATCAAAAACCGAGCTGTTGTCTTTTGTTTTCATATCTGCGCTGTGAGTTGCCATCCGAGATCATTGTCTGGTACCAGGAGCAACACCCACGAGGGCTTCAAATCGCCATTCCACGACCAGGCATTCAAATTTCCAGCCAACATTTACATACATAGATTAAAGACACCACAACTTTTATTTAATTATAGACCATTCAAAGAGTTCGGCAGTTGATTACAATACTGTACTACAGAGCGAACACTCAAACAACAAAGAACGTGAGAGGAGAAGAAACAGGTAGGGCTAGAGAAGTTAGTAGTCCTCGGGAGCCAAGGGCTGGTGAGTGCGGGGAGTCTCATCCGGGATCACAAGGAACTCATAGATAAGCCCTGCAAGAGCTGCTCCTACCAAGGGGCCAACCCAGTACACCCAGTGGCTCTTCCACCTCCAGCCGACGACTGCCGGTCCGAAGGCCCGCGCGGGATTCATCGCGGCGCCGTCGAATGGCCCGCCGGCAAGGATGTTGGCGCCCAGGATGAAGCCGATGGCGAGAGGCGCGATGATGCCGAGATGGCCTCTCCTGGGATCGATCGCCGTCGCGTACACGGTGTAGACGAGCCCGAACGTCATTACGATCTCCAGCAGGACTGCGTGCCCCTCGCTGACGCCTG